GAAGAGTATCTCGATTATAATTCGTCTCACTTTCAATATAAAGGGTTTAAGTCTTACTGAGATAGAGGACCTTATAGATAAGAATTAGACTTATATATAAAAGTATGATAAATATATCGATCCCGATATAAATAGCGAGGAGAGATACGAGCTTAGTTGCTAGGGCTTCTTATAAGCGACTTGATAATATCTCGGACATCGCGTTTTCAGTCGAAGTAAAACCGTCCGATGTCTTCGCCATATCCTCATTTTTTCACATTCGCGAATCGATTTCTCAGGCCTATGTTGCTCAATAATAACTTTATATCAGGCCCATCAAGCAGGCTTCCCTTGTTAACGGATACCCAAGCATCCTCCGAAGCCATAGTGCGTCACCTATGGGTCTCACTATCCCCGTCGATAGCCCCCATCGATATTGGTTATGTGACACCCTATGGAGAAACTCACACCAGAATCATTTGATATTGATTTAGAGTTTTAGCGCTTGCGGCTCGGTTCGATTCGGGAGGCTTTAACCAATCAAATTGCATTATTTCATCGATTTCTTCTCCATCATAAATATGAAATCAGGTGGCCATCGCATGGCAAATCATTTTTTGGTTATTATCCATTCAATTCTTTATAGATCCTCGTCAAATTAAAAGCTCCTTAACGCTATAATAAAGTGCAAGACAACGCGTTAGCGAAATCTCCGGGACGCGATATTACTATCGCCGCCGCCGCCAGAGAAAGATACTAATTTAGCCTAGTATACTAATATCAAAAGTTCTTTATTTTTATGGATTTTCAGCGAGCACAAGACATATGCATACGTTAGATTTTCTTTAATTCTATCGAAGGACTATGGCAAGAAGATTAGACAAGGAGAAGAATTCGAAGAATCTTGTTGATACGCAGGCAAGATATAGCTAATATCTCTAGAATCTCTACAAGGCAATACGACAGGCATGACACAGTCAAGACCAATATGCGATCCGGTAAAACCTCGGACATAGTGTTTTTAAACGAATTAAAACTATCCGATGTTCTTCAGAAAATCGATCGCCAAGACTCGAATTTCGACTGCTACAGCAATACCACACCTTAACAAATCTTCTCCATTCAAGGCCTGCAGGGACTATAGATGCTTGAAGACACAGGGCAAGCAATGGGCGTACATCTCCGGTCTACCAGCCATGGGGGCCATGGCTATTGAGAGGAGGGGGGTAGTGTTACGAGCGTACCCTTGACACACCACTCAGCCCTATGGCCTAGTGCCTTGGCGGAGGCATCCCCTACCATATCATGCCTCCTTCCCACCTACATAGTTCGGTAGCCTTATTATCCTAGTTCTACCTCACCCATACTAATATTACATCTATACTGGTCCTGACAATACTCTTTATTTTAAAAAATATAAAGTAAATTAATTAGCTAGTTTAATAAATTAAGATTAATAATTTTAATCTAGTATTATTAGAAAAGTTTAAAAAAGTATATAGTTTAGCGCTAGCTAATAATATCTTATTTTATATTATTAATAAGAATTTTATTAAGATAAAATAATGAAAAAAAGATAAGATTAAATGTAAATAAATATATTAGAGCGAAGAATAATTTATAACTTTTAAGCTTATTTAAAAATAAATAAAAAACTTAATTAATAAGAAATTTAAGAAATAATTTCGAAGTATATATTATTTTAAATTAATTATTTTTAAAGATATAAAGAGAGATAGAAGTTTAGTTAAGAAAAAGGCTATTATATCTTCTATATTAGATTTAATAATACTACTAAATCTCGCTTTATTATCTTCGCTATAATGACGAGCTCTATTAAAGACTCTATCGAAGACTCTATCGTAGGTTTTATTTTAGTAATAATAATAAGATAAAAGAGGTAAAAGAGGTAAAAGAAGTAAAAGAGATAAAGAAGATAAGAAAATAGTAGAAGAAGAGATAGTAGAAGAAGAGGTAGTAGAAAAAGAGGTAGGAGAAGAAGAGGTAGCGAAAGAGATAGTAATAGTTTTTTCACGATATAATAAGCCGATAAAATCTAAAAAATAATAATTTAGGCTCTCCGATATAGAAGCCTTAGGAGTAATAAAAGATCATCATCATTATACTAGTTTACTATACAAATTTGGTGAGAGGTAAGCATTTGGGTGTTGCGTCGGAATTATCGGATTTAATTTGGGCGCAAATGGGGGTAGGGCGCAAATGGGGGTAGACACGATTAGACGATAGTGGCTATTGTAAGAATGGCAAGTATGTTCTTTATAATTTTCTATGAATGGCGTTAATAAAAAGTCGGAGGCGGAGCTGGGTTAGCTTTGCTAAGTATTCTTATTTAATTTGTAATTTATAAAGGGCTGCTATCGATAAGTAAGAACTCTTGGCGCTATGCCAGTCATGACGATCTCGAAGCGACTCCACTTCGACAGAGCACAAGATCGAGCAAACTGAGCGAATGCCATGTTCTGAACGTTGTTAAGCCTGGATGCAGCTGATACTCACGCTCTCATGATCAGTAGCTTTCTTAGAAAGCCAGGATGAAGTGTGCTAGGTTTGCTCCACGCACTGTTAACGAAGTCTGCAGAGCATCTCGAATAAGCGCTTTCCACGCATCATGTCCGTCGCAACGACGGCATTTTAGGAGCCAAGCATCTCTCAACGAGAGTCTTCTTACTTACAAGCTTCTGATTCACGTCATCCTCGGCTGCGGCGCCGGTACAGCTCTATACCACGGCTCCAGACATTTAACCCTTACAGAACTCCACGCCGAAGCACCCCCTGCCCCCGTCGAAGTCAAGCTCGAAAAGCCCAAGAAGACCAAAGGGCTATCAAAAGAAGAGAATCGCGATACTATCAGTTCACAGCATCTCCAAGTGAAGAGGAGCTGGGAAAACCCCGGCGTGTACGCGTGGGGGCTGAATAGTGGGAAGGTAGCGGCGCCAGATTCAGACGAGGCACTGATAAAGCAGCCGAGGAGGATACTGTTCTTTGACGGGTTGTTGCTACGGGACATAAAGCTGGATAGGAATTTTGGTGTTGCTGTCACTGAAAAAGGGGATTTGCTACAATGGGGTACTGGGTTCTCGAAAGATATCAGGCAGCCTACGCATACATTGACTGGGAAAGGGTTGACGGCTGTGACGATCTCTAAGGATAGAATTATAGCATTGGCGTCGAATGGGAAGGTCTATTCTTTGCCTGTGTCGCAGGAGGATCAGGCCAAGGGCGCTAAACCTATGGAAAGTTCGTGGATGCCCTTTTGGAGCTCGCGAGCGAATGTCAGCTATCGCTTGTTACAGCCACAGAATATGGGATGGGGCGAGAAAGTCTCTTCGATCAGCTCTGGTCTCGAACACGTCCTTCTCCTTACCTCCAATGGCCGCCTTTTCAGTGCTGCTTCCAGCAGTGAAGAGTTCCCATCGAGGGGTGAGATGGGTGTTCCAGGCTTATCCTGGACTACTCGACCGCCTGGCCCGTATGATCAACCACACGAAATCACCACTCTTCGCGGTTTCGAAATTACAGCTATCGCAACAGGGGACTTTCACTCTCTAGCACTAGACAAGGAGGGTCGCGCTTTTGCCTTTGGTGACAATAGCTCTGGACAACTCGGCTTTGATCCTAGCGGAGAGTCTCCATATATTGATGCTCCTTCTCTTTTGCCAATATCAAGACTTTATTCTGGTACCAACCTTTCACCTCGCGTGACTTCCGTCTCCGCTGGTGGTTCAAACTCGTTCTTCACAGTGGATGCGACTCGAGTTGCTCAACCTGGCGAAGCTTCCGCTGCCAAAGTTGGCCTTGGCCGCATCACGGCTGACACCTGGGCTAGCGGTCAAGGTATTCTCGGAACTCTTGGCACTGGCCGCTGGACCCATATCCAAGGCACGCCGACGAAGCTTAAGGCGCTCAGTGGTCTTTTTGAATTTGATGAAAGCAACAACACGGTCGTTCCCATTCGGCTGAAGCGTCTTTCCGTCGGCAGCACACATGCCAGCGCAACAATGGATAATGTGACGCATGTTAAAGCTGGTACTTCTTCGTCCACAAACTCTCGCAATGATACCAATTGGGGTGCTGATGTGCTTTGGTGGGGCGGAAACGAGAACTATCAGCTTGGAATGGGGAAGAGGAATAATATTGCTTTGCCAGGATATATGGCGCCTCTGGACGCTGCTGCGGAAAAGGCTGTGGGGAAGCGGAGGGAGGAACATCGCTTTCAAATCACCCCACGTCACAAGGTCGATGTCAATGGGCGCAAAGTGAGTATGGAGCAGAGAGTTGAGTGTGGGAGGATGGTGAGCGCTGTGTATTCTGGAATCTAGGTCTAGCCTCATACAATAGAAAGTAAAGTACGGTACCTTACTCTAGAATCAAGTAAGGCAAGGTACTTTAGTAGTACTAAAATGCGCCAAGCTTTCGACATTAGCTACTAAGCTTAGCCTATCATGTCATGGCGTAACTAAACGAACTGACAGGACCGGCTCCGTCTTTGGAAGTGAGGGATCAACAGGAGCTTGGAAGCAACAACTTCACTCGTTGGCATATTACTCCTTCTTTACACCCAATCCCTCTGTCCCAACCTCTTTTCTAGCTCCATTAAAAGGCCGCATATCAGAGGCTCTTTCTAAGTGATGCACGGCCCAATTGGTTGCTATTTCCGGTAGCAGTTCCAGTCGCATATCAGAGCCAACAGCATACTGCATCCCTCAACGCTCTCGCATATAACCTGCGAACTATCTCCTACCCGAGACTGTCTTCCGGGGCTCGCGCTTATCAATCCTTGCCAGAATTTTGTCAAATTTGGGGCTTCTGTCTCTTCCTCCCACTTGTACAAGTGCGACAACTGTTACACCCTCTCCCACGGCGTTGCGCCCGCTTTTTGGCCGGAGAGATTGACAGAGGTGCAATACGATGTCAAAAGCCTTTTCAATATCAGGCAGGATTAAGCTTGGGAACATTGGACAGGGGGCAAATCTAGGAGACTGTGGTCACGAGGGATCACGATGGACCAAACCAATGTGGGCAATATGAACAATTACTATGAAAGGCAGTACTCGCAGGAGGATCTGCAGAGGCTGGCGGACCTGAGCAATCATGATGCGATGATGGGCATCATAGGTCCGAATGGAGTGGATGCCTCAGGCATGATGGGTGGCCATACATTGGACGACTTCATCAATCAGAATCAGAAGGAGATACAGCGGAGGAGCAGCTTTCACCAATCTAACACCTACACTTCCAACCGACCGATACCAGAGATGGATTCCAGAAGGTCATCGATGTTGGAATTCGGTCCTGGAAATAACAGCGACCTCGAAGGTTTCCAATTCGATCCAACTCCCGTTTCAACAAACTCTGGGATGCAGCGTCCCGGGAACATTGCTCAACGAAGACTCGACAGCCAAAGAGCGAGACGGCAGTTATCCAACGAGCATCTTGCACTCAATACAAGCTTCCACAGCATGGCTCCAAACTATACACCAATCTCATCATCCTCACCCTACGGCCATAATCTTGATTCTGCAGAGTCGCTCGGCTACGACATGTCCGGAAGCTACCTGTCTAACAACATGCTTATGGCAATGGATTTTTCCGGTTTGGACCACGGCACGAATGGCGATATAACCCCAAGGAATGCGTATACGGGCAACAATTTCACAACCGACATGTCCACTCCGCCTATGCAGCAGAATATGTCCTCTTCGATACCCGAGCAAATGCATGATCCTGGAGGAGGTAGTATGCTTGGTCTCGGTACACAAGACGGGATGGCAAAGATGCCAAATATGCCAGTTTCAGATCAGATGCAAAATTTGCAAGTCAATCTTAGCCAACCCCAGATCTCTATGTCGAACACGAGCCCTCCGATGGAGATGTCAGGATCCCATGCTCTACCCGATCTCGATCCCCCTCAAAAGCCTCGGCCGACTCCTAACCTTGATATCACTACCAACAATGGGGTACCTTATCAGGGTCAAGGGAGTGCTTCACAACAGGTAATACCCCAATATCGTAACGCCTATTCATCCAGCGGTTTTGATATGCTTGGAGTCCTTATGAGAGTCGCTGCGAGGCCAAAACCACAGATCAACATAGGAGCGGTCGATATGTCATGTGCCTTCGTCGTATGCGACGTGACTCAGCACGACATACCGATTGTATATTGCTCCGATGTCTTTGAACGTTTGACCGCCTATACACGGCACGAGATATTGGGGAGAAATTGCCGTTTCCTCCAATCCCCGGACGGCAAAATTCAAACGGGCGTCAAGCGAAAGTACGTCGACGATCAATCCGTGTTTCGCATCAAGAACATGATCAATCAAAGGCAAGAAACGCAGATCAGTCTGATCAATTATCGGAAAGGAGGACAACCGTTTATGAATTTGCTTACTATGATACCGATAACATGGGACAGCGACGAAATCAAGTACTACGTTGGGTTTCAGGTTGACCTTGTTGAACAGCCGACATCCATAACAAACAAGAATCCTGGTAAGGGTATCCTTTCTCTATTCTTGAAGGTGAAGTTCACTGACGCTCGTCGAGATGGGTCATACAGCATTAACTATCAGCGCGGCTTGCTGCCACGATATGTCGTCCCCGATCATCCTGGCCATCAGAATTCCGAGCTTGGCCAAACTGTTGCTCGTGATGATGTTTCTACAGTCCTCAGTACTATTGGTTCTGGGGAATCTGAGTTATCAAAACGAATATGGGACAAGGTCCTGCTCGAGAACACTGACGATGTTGTGCACGTCCTGTCCCTGAAGGGGCTCTTCCTCTACCTGTCTCCGTCGAGTCGCAAAGTCCTCGAATATGATCCTAGCGAGCTTGTGGGCACAGCATTGTCTTCTGTCTGCCACCCAAGCGACATCGTCCCGGTTACGCGGGAACTCAAAGATACTTCGACTGGAGCTGCTGTCAACGTGGTCTTTAGGATTCGGCGAAAACACAGCGGCTATACCTGGTTTGAGAGTCATGGGTCACTTCATCTCGAGCAAGGAAAGGGCCGAAAGTGTATAATCATGGTAGGACGAGAACGCCCAGTCTACGCATTGGCAAGGGAGGACATCATGTCTGCTGGTGGCTTTGGCGAGAGTGAGCTGTGGACTAAGATGTCCACGTCAGGCATGTTCCTGTTCGTTTCATCTAATGTCCGCAGTCTCCTCGACCGTCAGCCCGAAGATCTCGTTGGAACCAGTTGTCAAGCACTCATGCGGGCAGAGTCGAAGCTTGAGTTCGGCAAAATGCTAGAGGTTGCTCGCACAGGTGTTCGAGCAACTTTCAAGCATGACGTACAGAACAAGCGGGGCCAAACGCTGCAAGCTCGGACGACAATCTACCCGGGAGATGCATGCGAGGGTCAGAAGCCTACATTTTTAGTGGCTCAAACGCGATTACTGAAGTTGCCACGCACTCTGAATAGACAAGCATCCAACATATCCCCAAAGACGGAACAAAAGTCCTCGAGTCCCGCATCGTCTGCCGGTGGCGCCTCCGGTGGCAATCAGACACCCAAATCAGCTCCTGGAAATGTGAAGCCGGATGGAGTGACCACGCAGGCAGGTGGAATGGGTCTCGTCATCGGTAACCAGCACGAAGCTCTCGCATCAGAGGATAACGTCTTCGATGAACTGAAGACTACAAGGAGTACCAGTTGGCAATTTGAACTTCGCCAGATGGAGAAGAGAAACAGGTTGCTTGCAGAAGAGCTACAGAGTCTGCTCTCTAGTAAGAAGAAGAGGAAAAGGCGAAATGGTGCGGGTAACATGCAGAAAAATTGCGCTAATTGTCATACGATGGTCACGCCTGAGTGGAGGCGAGGCCCGAGTGGTAATCGCGATCTGTGTAATAGTTGCGGGCTTAGATGGGCTAAAGAGGTATGTATCCACTGTCCAGTTCATTCAGATACATTCCCTAAGTTTTCTAGAATGGCCGAGTCACACCACGTACATCGTCACAAAAAAGCGACAAGGATTCCGCCTCGCCTGCAGGAACCAACACTCTCAATCTTGTCACCGCTGTCGACCAGATGCCTGACAATAAATCAGTACCTGCGCCCGATCAGAGGTCACCCCAAGCCCTCAACGCTGATTCGCACAACGCGAAGATGGCGCGAATGGAAGCGTCTGCATCTCAGGGTTTCGGCGGAGGCATCCCACCAAAGATTGAGGAAGGTATAGAACCAGGCGAGAAACAGATGAGGCCGCCGCCGCCGATTTAGTGGGACAGCATTGCAGGATTCCGTGGAGGATTGTGATTGTTTTGCTTCGCTCACACAGTTCTAGACGGTCGGTGTGATGACGCTGTATGCATATCGATTGTGGTTGTTGAGGCTTCGGTTTGCTCGGTTAGGAGGATATACGTCGACACACTACTTGATGACGGCCATGTCAAGCGTCTTCTGCATGGCGTTCGGTCGGGGTGATGTTTACCCGTCCACATGGGGTTGGGCACGGGCTTGCAGGTTATGGCCATCATGCGCTCTACGGAGAAGGTCTATAGGTAGCTGCCTCTGGCTAGCACGGCGTTACAACAATACATGCTCTAAGATATTGGAAAATCAACTCTTCATTGATACTGTCCTCATGGATCCTGTTGCAGTTGCTGCCCGAACCCCCCCGCCCCCTTTACACCCACCCCCCTTTTTTTCCCCCATCCAAGCCAAGGGTCAGCGAGCGAGCCAAATGGTGTAATAAATGGAGCCCCGTTTCATCTCCCTTCCCAACCAAGACGCCTGCCTAGACGTGACAGAGGGTACATCTATTCCGCATGGCGCTACTGCAGGCCAGCACTTCCCGGGGAATCCGGCTTCTCCTGGATCAGGGCAAATCATTTGCCCCTTACGGCACGCGAGGGGACGCCATCTCCACCCCTATCCCGCCTAGCCCTTCCTTTTCCCGCCTGAAGATTTTTTAGCTCGCATAATGATTTTTGGCCCGGACCACCTGTCTGGAGAAATACCTATGAATATTGGGATTTTTCGATATTAACGACCGCATGGGTAGTCGCTACGGGGGGCGAATTTGGTCGGATTTTGTCTTTTTGTGGGGGAGATGATGGTGGTGGTGGTGGTGCCACGAGGGGGTTTTAGGTGGAGTTTTGAATTGAGTTTTTTTGTTGGTGCACGGTGATGGAACCATTGGATTCGGTTCCGTTTGACGTTTGGCGGAGCACATGGTTGGCAGGGTTCTGGGCGACGATCACTCGGATTCATTCACAAGGGCAAGAAGGGGGAGGGGGGGAGATGCTCCAGATCTTTTTTAATCTGCCTTATCGCTTCGAGCGTCTGGGGGTTTTGAGGAACGGGTTTCGCTCATCCCAATTCCATTGCTTCAGGTCCAGGTTTGGCCCCTGGACGAGTGAGTGCAACCTGTCTCCAGAATTGCCATTGCCATTGCCCTTGCCCAACAGCGATATCGTCTTTGAAATTGTCTAATGAACGCATACCTCGCTTCAATTGAAATCCCTGGGCACCCCTTCCGCCCACACCTCCCCTCAAAGCAGACGACCAGCAACGCACACAGCAGGAGTTGCGGAGCAATTGTCCGCGCAGAGGGCGCGAGAGTAGCCCGCAATGGGTGACCAGAATCGGATATCTATAACGATTTGCGGGGATGGTGGCTGCGGTACACCCTCCCATGTCCGGACCATGTTCACGCTGCAACGGCGCTGACTGAAACCCTGCTCGTACAGGCAAATCCTCTATAACGTTACGGCTGGTACGAAGTCAATGGACGCACGAGTAAGCCGTTGACCTTTCTCCCCTACAAATGCACACAGCTAACCGCGTCTTTTTTTACAGATACGACCCCACAATCGGTACCCTTACTTCCCTACCCCAACTATTACCATCTCTGACCTTACTTGCCCAGAGGACTCCTACTCCACCACCCGCACCATAGACGGCCGGACCTACTTCCTCTCCCTGACCGACACGGCCGGCCAAGAAGAATATCGTGGCCTCTGGGCCGCCTCAAATCTTAAATCCGACGCCTTCCTCCTCGTATACGACATCACGGCTGCCTCCTCCCTCGACACCCTTGACTACTTCCTGCAAATGATAGAGATGGAATGTGCTCACCGGCAGGATACAGGCGGTGTGCAGCCGGTCAAGCTTGTGGCGGGGAATAAGTGCGATTTGAAGGATAGCAGGGTGGTTAGTAGTAGGCAGGGGTTGGAGTATGCGAGAAGCAGGGGCTGTGGGTTTATGGAGACGAGTGCGAGGGAGATGGTTAATATTGAGGAAACTTTTGCTCGTGAGTTCTCCTTTCTGTCGGATACTGGATGAAGAGCGAATCGGCACTGTTCGCTTGTCGATGATACTTCGGACTTCTTTGATTGCATACGCTAACCCTTCTCGCGTTCCTAGTAATCGTGCGCCGCGTGGTCGCTGCTCGCCAACACGCAGCAGGCACGACTGCCGCACCACCACAGAGAAACCAAGGTCTCTTCAGCCACGCACAATCGGCATCACGAACGCAGCAATTACCGTCGTACGGCGAAAAGGAAGCAGACACCACCGACTTCCCGGAAAGGCCTGGAGCCAAAAAGACGAAGCGGGGTGGTTTTTGGGCGAGATACAAATGCTGGTGATTCTCGTGGCATCGGGTTTCGAGAATTGGATTAGGTGGGACGTTGGGAAGGGGAAAAAATACCTTTGGATGCTGACTGCATTTGGGTGGAGCGGTGGTGGTTTGATCGGAGTCTTTGCATTTCGCCTGCGTTGAATTCGACTTAGATGATGCCTACCGTGCATGTTATGTGGGCAATCGGGATAGAGATGCGATTATGAGCTAATGTAATATCGATATCTTTGAAGTCATTTGGCCACGAACTTGATGCAGGAATTTTGCAACAGGTGCATCGGAATAATACGAGTGATTTTGTGGATAATCATGTGGATAAAGTAATGTTCAATCCGTCTTCGCTTGGGGCATTTCGTCATTCTGCTTCGTTAAAAGGCTTGGCAAAGTTGGCTACGCTAAAGAGATCGGCCCGCCAGTGAAACCGCCGCGCCTTAGCGGCTCGGCGGTTACGCGAGGCATGACAACTTTGACAAGTTCGCGGGGAATTGACTCGACTTTTCTTATCATTCTCTTGTTGTTATTTCACGATGCCCTTTATGCAAACTCGCAACTCCCCTTCCCTGTACTACCACCAAACAAGGAGAGCCACAAGCAAGTTTGAGTTCATCTAGCCTCCTCCTGAACGCCTAGAGTAAACAACCCAGTCCTACAAAGCTACGTCAACATGTCCGACGACGCCGTGGCCAGGCGCCCAAGCTCCAGTTCCAGCGCCAGCTCAAGCCTCGACCCACAACGTCCCGCACCACATCGGACTCACTCACACAACATGCGTCTCGCCCAGCAGACGAGTCCAAGTCACGGCCACCGCCCGAGTTTCACAGAGCAGTTACGCGGCATGCCACCCTCACCCCGAGGCGCCCGCCAACTTTCCATGTCCGAAGCCCAGATACGGGAGCTGATGAACAATCCGCCAACTACCGGGAGTGCGGATCCGAAGTTTGCGGGGAGAGATTGGCAGCATATTGCTGTTGGGGAGCTCGTGCAGCCAGAGGATTTGAGGTGGGTGGAGGTTGATAGTGGAGTGGAGGACGCTACGAATGTAGGTCACTATCCCATCATCGGCGTGAGGAATGACGCTGATTGTAGATAAAGCTCCTGACGGAGTCTGACGCAACTGTACTACTCATCCGAGCAAACAAGAACGAAAATTCGGCCGTTGCGACTTTCGACTACCGAGATTTGACGCAATACCTCCTCTTCGCCACCGGCCAACTGCAACCCGATGACGAACATCTAGTCGTCTTCGAGAAACTGGCCAAGAAGGCACAGCAGGGCCACAAAATACCACTGCGAGATGCGAAGAGCTTGGGCAACAAGGAGCCGTTCATAACATTGCCACATACTGCGGATCTCACGGCTGCTGTGGAGACATTCGGAGGTGGTGTGCATCGAATTGTTATATTGAAGGAAGGGACGAACCATGCTATTGGGATCCTAAGTCAGCTGAGACTAGTGAAATTTCTTTGGGAGAACGGGAGGGCTTTCCCGACCATCGATCAGCTGTACCCTCGAGAGGTTAAGGATCTTGGTATTGGGTCTCAGGGACTGATATCCGTCAAGTATGTTGTTCCCTCTTGAGGTACCTAGTACTGCGGCTGATAGTAGATCTTTAGTGGTGACAAGCCTCTGAAGGAAGCGTTGACACTCATGAACAACGAAGGAGTCACGTCCTTAGCTGTCGTCGACAATAATTACAACGTTGTGGGCAATATATCCAATGTGGATGTCAAGGTCAGCAAAGTCGGTTCGAAGTATAGTCGGAAGCTTTGTACTGACAGGGTATCAGCTCCTCACCAAATCAAGCTCGGCGCCACTTCTCGAAAACACCTGCATACACTTCATCTCCGTCATTCTTTCCACCCGCGGCATGATTGACGGCCAAGATTCTTACCCCGTCTTCCACATAAACCCCCAGTCCACCCTGGCTCACACAGTGGCAAAGCTTGTTGCTACAACCGCCCACAGGTACTACCATCCTTCCCTTCCCATCTACCTAAGTTCAAACACTGACTTCTTCCCAGAATGTGGGTAGTCGAAACCCCCACACCATCCTCCACCCCCTCCTCCGCCCCCCTAACCCCTGGTACCGGTCCCAACCCTCACGCCACCCCCATCTCCATCGCCCATCCGCCCGTCAATCACCCCCCACACCTCTCCACTTCCTTCCCGCAAGCCAATCCTCCCTTCCAACCTCTCAGCGCCACACCATCTGTCTCCGCTTCCGCAATGCCGGGACAGCATATGTCAGGCAGATTGAGCGGCGTGGTTAGTTTGACGGACATATTGAATCTGTTTGCGCGAGCCAGCGGACTGCACCCGACGGATCCGGAGGAGGCGAGGAGGAAGAGGAGAGGAAGTTCTAGTAGTTCCAGGAGTGGGGTCAGGGGCAGTATGGACAGTGCGAGGAGTAGCGTCGTTGATTTGAGGGAGAAGCGGTAGTGGGCGCGAAGGGGACAGAGACAGACGAGACGAATGGTTCACTGGTGGGCACAGCTATGAGCGAAGGAGAGATGTACCTTTGCTTTTCGGATTAAAAAAGCTGGATACGATGACTTGAAGAAGACGTAAGGAGAGACAGGCTTTGAACGCTTTTAGTAGGCTGGCTAGCTGGCTTACAGGTCCTTGTTCTCCAGAGGACGGATGCCGTTCACTTCGCCGAGGCGTGCTTGGGGCATGCATGGCTTGGAAGAATTTACTCTTTTTTTAGATTTCGGCGATAGCTTTCAATTGAAGCCTTGCCATATCAATCCAGCGATGCTCATCTGCTACATATTCCAACATCACCTCTCCGAGCCGCGACCTATTCCCACGGCACCACATCCTTCATCCCTCCACGTCGTCTTCCTCCTTCATGTCCTTCACAGCCACCGCACCCCTCGCTTCCTGCTTGAACCAAAGCTCCGCGAGGAAATCCGCCGTGCTCGCCTCATCGATGCTCTTGTCCTCCCTGACCTTCAAGAACCGCGGGAACCGCATGCTCAACCCCCTCTCCTCGTCCACCAGGCCGATGGCCGCCAGATAGGTCGGGCTCTTCGTGACGTCCGCAAACGCCATCTCCCACACCTCCTGCGGCTCGAACCAGACGTCGGGCCGGCCCACGTACTCGACGTAGCCCGGTCTGGCGATCAGGTTCTCTCCCGTCTCCTCGTTGTAGCGTTCCTTGTTCTCCTTGTAGAACTTGTCCGTGAAGCCGGAGATGCATTTGGTGACGGCTTCCAGGCTGCCGGTGGACGGGTTGCGGACGGCGAGGAGGATCGGGGACCACCATTTCGCTTTGCGGCCGGAGCCGTGCCAGGCGGCGATGGGGATGAGGTCGATGGTATCGGAGGTGGTGGAGTAGTCCTTTTTCACTTTGAGCCAGGAGTCGAGGCGCTTGTCGGGGGTGTAGGTTGAGAGGAGGGGCTTGCGGCGGGTGCCTGATGTCTTCTCCTCGGCTTTGTCTGGTGCGGTGGGTTTGGGTTTGGATTTGGTCTTCTTGGGTGGTCTTGTCTGGGCGGGGGGCGAGAGTGCTGTTTCTAGGTCATCGTCGTGGTTTTCGTCGGTTTGGAGCGCTGGGTTGGGGACATTGTCGAGGACTTTGACCATTATGCCTTCGCATTTGATATCGGTTGCTGATTTGAAGAATTCGAGAACGGTGTCGGAGTCAGAGGATGTGGCATCTATACACTTGACCCAGGTGAAGCGATTGGGGATTTCGACGAAGAGACTCCGGAGGAGCTCTCTTCTCTCGCGGAACGGTCTGTCGAGAAGCTCTTCGCCGTTGAGGTACATGAGGTCGAAGGAGAAGAGACAGACGGCTACTTTGATGGATTCGATCGCAACATCCTTTTTCGCTCTGTTTGTCAAAGTTTGGAACGCCTTGAGATCGCCAGTTTCCTGGTCGATGGCTACGACTTCGCCTTCAAGGATGAAGCTGCTGACGCCTTCGCCACGTATTTGAGGCACGAGGGCAACTAGGTCGGGGTACTTGTCCGTCATGATTTCCAGATGCCGGGAGAATATTGAGACTTTGCCTTGCTCGTCACAGTGCACTTGGGCGCGTTGGCCGTCATATTTGTATTCGCAGCTGAAGTCCCGGCCTTGGAGTTTTGTGAGCATTTCACTCAGGTCACGGGTAATGCTACCCAGCATGGGTCGTAATGGAATGTGTAATCCTAGCCCACAGCGCAGCAGAAGCTCGTCGGAGATGCCAACTTCCAGAAGGCAAGGGACAAGGTCATTGTAGTTCGGTCTACGCGCGAAGCATGCTTTGACTAACTCTTCGCCCTTGCTGTAGACTTCTGCCAGTCCTTCCTTCTTAAGCTTTGCGAGATCCGACTGTAGTCTAATACCAAACGTTGCGCCTTCGGGTCGTGACAATAAGAATGCGCGAGAAAGGGCAATAAGCATGGTAGTCTTCACAGCCCCTATTCGCAGATGTTGACACAATGTCCTGACCAGATATCTACTCTCTTCCGCGCCTTGTGAATCTTGCAACAATCTCTCCACGATCCTTTGCTTGAACTCTTGACTACCTGTCCCTTTGCTGTTGGCTACTTTGACTAAGCTTTCAAAGACACCGTTGATGGTCAGGGGCTTCGGCTTGCGCAGGGTGTAGGTTTGTCGCTTTTTGGCTTCGAAGGCCACATCTCCCGCATCTCCATACTTGTCGTAGAGCGTTTTGAGACCAGCGTTGTCCAGCATACATGTCTTCTTCAGCGCCTTTGAGATAGCCGAACCTCCAAGTCCTAGCTCCAACGAAATATAGGGAGGAGAGATGGCATTGGTAGCCAGCCAGACAGCGGGTAGTAAGCTCTCAGGATCACCTTCAATGACGGTTCGTAGAAAATTGACCAAGGTATCGACGATCTTAATGCGACTCTGTGTACTGTTGATAAGCACGAAGCATCTGGTGAGGAGTCCATATGATGCATTACTACCTTCCGTCGCCCAATGTTTCTTGAGTTTCGGTATGTAGTTCGAAGGATCGAAAGTCATAGGGTTCTCATCGAATGGGACGGTCGAAGATATTGCGTCTTCAGCAGAGGTTGCCGACTGCAATGATAAGGTGTCTTTCTTCTGTGATCCATTTACCTGTAGCGGCATTGGCGCATGATCTGTCGCAACATCTTGCTGCTGTGAGGAGCCACACTGGTGATTTGAAGTAACATCGGCCTCTTGAACGAACTCGTCATCCTTTATTGCTTGTACGTCTTTCGGCTCCTCAGTTGACTCGAAAGGTGGAGCTGCCAAGACCCTATCTTGTTCTTCCCATTCGGCCTGCAATTTTCGCGCATACTCTTCATCGGTCAGAGTTTGGGCTTCAACATCATTGCTATCTCTTCCCTGCGATCCCAAATGTCCATCGGACAAGTCCTGGGAGCGCGCGTTTTCGTCTGTTCTCTTTGGCGCCTTTTCCCCCTTTTGTTTGCTGAAGAAGAAGTCGAGGCTTCCTACAGTTTGCGGTGAGGATTGATGATTGTTAGTCTTGCGGCGCTTGGAAGGCGTCGACATCGCCAGTGGTCGCACTTTGGCTCATGCTCATGCTCATGCTCATTTACTTTCATGGCGGGCTTGTGCATGGGATATTGAGCATCGTCATCATGCAGGGGTGGAGAAAACGCGTCGGCCCGCGCGTCCAATCCGGTAACATGTACCTTACTATATCGGGCTAGCTTTCAGCTCGCCACCGTTTGAATTCCTCCCCGCGCTTTTTATACAGTCGTAAAACTTAAGACATTCCAACTTAAAGGCCTAGAGGCAACTAAGGTACCGAATTGTTTTGAGACTACCGGTCAATCTCCTTAGATCATTTCCACATTTCAGCTGCCAAAAATAAAGCGAAAGACCGCCTAAGATTAAAGCGGCGTTAGTCGCGCCTAAATTTACGGAGAGTCCTCGGCCTATTGTTTCTAACCTATTAACAGAACAGTCTCTTGCCTGAGGTTCTAGTCGTCCTCGGTCGCATTAGAGCCATGGCCGAGGTTGCCTATCGATCAAATGCCTCTCGAATCGCTGACGAGGAGCGAGATGTACGAGTGGAAGACTACTTGAATGACAAATTGCAAAACACCACCGACTTGGCAAACATCGATTCCCTGCTGGAGGATGTAAAGGCTCAGCAGGTCCTGCTCCAGCAGCAGGTATGCCCGTGGATTTATCTACCTTCGCCAATGCCTCCTCTGACCAGTCTTAGCTACAAGAGGCCAAGAGAACTCTCGACGAGAACACAAAAGTATCAGTGGCACACTCGAACGATCTCCATCAACGTGCAAGACAATTCCAGTCGCAGCAAAATGACGTAGATCGTCGCTTGATGATTGTTACCCAATCCGAGACAAGTGATGATGCTGTACGAAAATTTGATTCTAGCATGGAAGGCCTGCGAAAGCTGGACGTGGCCCAGGAATATATGGAACTGCTCGCGGAGGTTGAGAACCTAAGGTCCATGAATGATCTCAAAGCCATGGTCGAATCCACTCATACTGACGTCTTGTATGCAGCGCTGGAGCACGCCGCAACTTCAAAAAGTCTCCTCGAGATGCCCTTCAGCCATACCTCCGGCTCCAAACCCTCGTCAATGCTCTGAAAGATGCTCAGCCTGCTGCCGAAGATGCCGCACCACACTTAATAGACCATGTCGATAGAACTGCTCGTACATTGTGGAGGCAGATGAAAGACGCCTTCGCTGGTGAATTTGAAGCTACGCTGAGGAAAATGCAGTGGCCAGGGAGAGACATCACTTTGGACGGACAGCTAGAGCGAGAATGGACTGGTGGCGTTAGAAAGCTACTCGAGCTACAAGAACCAGAATTGAAAGCCAAAGACAGTCGGACTGCGGACAGTACAAAAGGAGAAGAACCTCTGGTGCTTCTCCCACTGGAGGTCATGACCAAACCCTTGGAACTACGCTTCAAGTATCATTTTGAGAGTGACAGACCAACGAACAAGCTCGACAAGGTAAGTCTAAATATGAAATTTGCTTGAATAAGACGCTGACACCAACAGCCTGAGTACTTTCTCTCACACGTCATTAGTCTGCTTAATACCTACGATGAATTCTTTGCAATGTACTTGCAGCCCATACTGCGGGAATATTTCAGATCGTCAAACCTAGCACTGACATCCATCTATATTGACTCTACCTCTGCGCTCATCACCGCATTATTACCAATGCTCCGCCGCAAAATATTTGCTCTGATGCCCCAAATCTCCCAGCAGCCGCAACTCTTGAGTCACCTTATACATGAGCTCATGACCTTCGACGTCAGCTTAAGAGATGAATGGAATTACGATGGAGGTAACGCTATTGAGGGATGGAAAGGTCTGACCTGGGAAGTCTTGGTCAAGAAGGATTGGTTCGGCCGATGGTTGGAAGTGGAAAAGAATTTCGCATTATCTCGATATCAGAACATCATCGATGCGCCGGAAAGTGGAGAGATCGACTACGACAGCGTTGACCCAGGGGCCACCAAGCCTACTTATGCTGCTATTAGAGTCAACGACCTCCTCGAGACGATTACAGATCGCTATAGACCGTTAACATCCTTCTCCCAGAAACTTCGATTCCTAATCGATATTCAGATCACGCTATTTGATCGCTTCCACTCCCGCTTTCATGACTCCCTGGAAGCCTACCTGGCGAGGACATCCTCCATCGCCCGCACAGTCCAAGGAGTCTCCCGCGAAACCCAAGCCGAACTCCAAGGGCTTGGCGGCCTGGAACGCCTGTGTCGTATTTACGGCAGCGCAGAGTATCTGGAAAAGAAGATGCGCGACTGGAGCGATGATGTCTTCTTCCTGGATCTCTGGGATGAGCTGCAAGATCGTGCTCGTCGGAGTACCGGGAAAAATCTTGCAGGCCCTATGAGCGTGGAAGACGTGGCGGAACGCACCTCCAGCACTGTTGGCTCAGAAGAGGACTCTGGCGCTCTTTTTGACGAGACAGCGGGAGCGTATAGACGCCTGCGTGTCCGTACAGAAGGTGTTATCCAGGACATGCTTATCTACAGCCTTCGCGAGTCTCTTCGACCATATGGCCGCATCAACCCATGGTCGTCTCTTTCGGTGGAGTCTAACTCATCCCTCAGTCTAACGGCTGAGCTGGATGCTACTGTCCAGCAGTCAAACGATTACCTGTCCTTCCTCTCCAAGGTCCTGGCGCAGGCGCCATTGAGACGCATTGTGCGCCAAGTGGCGCTCGCTATACAGACGTTCCTGTGGGATCATGTACTAATGCGTTACACCTTCTCTGCGAGCGGTATTGCACAGTTCCAGAGGGACGTAGAAGTCGTTTGGGAGACCATGGACCGGTGGTTGGGGGAGGGCCAAGGAGAGACAGGGATGCGGAGATTGAAAGAAGGCTTGGTGCTCCTGGGGCTACCTGTGAAGAGTGAAGAAGGCGAGGAGAATGGAGATGAAGATGTTGGATTGGGCTTGTGGGAGGTAGAAAGAAGGGTGTTTCGAAATAACGAAAGTGGACGGGAAGTCCTGGACGAATTAGGTCTGGAGGTGCTGAGTGAGAGTGAGGCAAGGCATGTGCTAGAGAGGAGGATAGAGCTGGGTCATTAGGTTCACCTATCAATATCATTTCTTCATTCAACCTCCACATTTCATCTCTGGAGATTTGTACAACTTCCCCGCCCGCCACACGTGACTCACATCCTCCGCTTTCGCCAAAACCCCAACATCCACCAGTGGATTCCTCTTCACAGCAATCAAGTTGGGATGGCCAGGGAAGATGGTGGGGACCTGGATGGCTAGAGGAGATGTATACTCATCTGGAGAGATGATCGGAGGCCAACGTGAACGATTGTTCCGGATCGAAGAATCCAGCTTGCATCTTTCAGCGGGGGAGCACGGCCCGGGATGAGGAGATCTGCATCGATGCGAACACAGTCAGACTCGGTGGTGCTGGGTTGCAAGTCCATGCTTTAGGCCGATGCTTCTGCGCTTGATATTTACCGATACTTTGACGTCGAGACGGAGCACTTTTCTCAAGGACCTCTACGGCCGTCGATCCCGAGATTTAAAAGGGAAGATGTTGGAGCTAACCGCCCCATGTCAGTAGGGCTGCCAAGTGCAATTCGGGCATATGAAGGATTGAAAGGGAACAAGATTCGAGTTGTTTTTGAATTCTTGCATTGCGTTTGCCATGCTCACGTGCGCAGGTACGATCCCTTTCGAAATTAGTACATGTAATGATGAAATCCCTTCTGTGTTCCATCAATGTTTACTTGTCGTTGTCATCCGTCCGCAGCCCGTGCGACGTGTTTCAGGACTACTGGATGTCTACTACCTACATATATCTTACCGGTGATCTTTGGTGTACGGAGGTCGGCGCAAAGTCTGGACAGCGCTAGTAGTAGCCCTAACCCTACTCTCGGAAAGCAGGCCCGTAACGGGGAACCCTAGGAATATTGGAACACCATAGATTGAAATTTAGGGACTCCTGTTGGGCGCGATAGGGGCATTGGGCCCCAGTCTGAGCTTCTGTCAGGCGCACTTCCGAAGTAGATCCAAGTGCATTGTTCGAGCAGCCCTTCAGGCGGGGCAGAATTCGAGATCTTGGCGCAGTAGTCTTGGCGTCCGGGATTCTGTGTTGCCGATCTCTTTTGAAGGAATACTGGATGCGACCTTCTTGTCACGGCTAGGCTGCGGCTCCTGGATGAGGCTGTGCTTATGGTGCAAAGACCTTGCCAGCATGCATCTCTACAAGAGGCACTACCAAAGACTTGTTTCATGTGATGCTGCACCGATCTCGCTGTCCGCGATGAGCGTAACACTCCACCGACCTCTCTGAAGGACGATATTAGATACTGGAGCGCGTTGACTAGCTAGCTATCTTCAATCTGTCTGTCTTTCTTGTTACATCGCTCGTCGCGATTTGCTTTCCAGCATGAATGGGCGCCTTTGAAGCCTGGCATCTACTTTCTTTATCCTGAGAATGGGCTCCGTCGTTTGATAGCACTTGGCCGGTTATGGAAGCTATCGCCGCCGCGAGTAGTGTGGCAGGAATACTCAGTCTACTGGGCCAAAGTATCGATGGTGTCTCGAAACTCAGAGGGTTCTTCTTGAATGTCTCGTGTGCTTCCAGACACGTCAGTCTTTTTCTCTACGACATCAATTGCCTCCTGGAAGCCCTTCATGCTGCCAAACAGCTTGTCGACAGGCTACCTGAGGGCTTCAAGGACTCACATATTACTGCCCTACAGATACAGCTTGACTTTTGCACCAAGGATGTTCATCGGTTGCTCGAAAGCGCGAGTTCCCTTCGCCCGGCTTCAGAGATTGGGGCAAAGGCCTGGATGAAGAAGTTTTGGAATGCTGTTAATAAAGATGTTTTAAGCAACGCACGCGAAGAACTCGAAAGACACAGACAAGCCATTGAGCTTAGCCTGACAGTCCTAGGAAGGTACGTTTGAGCCTCCAGAGAGGTAAGGTGCCTAGGGCTGAATTGAAATGGTAGGACGCTCGACATTTCTGCAGCAGTAAACATCAAGAAACTTGACAGTAAAATTGATACAGGTACTGCGGCGTCACTGTCCAAGATCGAGGAGCAGAATGTTGTCCTCGAGAGGATCGAGTCACATACGAAAAGCAGAGTGCAAAGTTCTGCAGACAGTGTGCAGAGTTTACGGAGTATAGCAAGTTCGCTATCAAGGATGGAAGCTTTGGCCGCCTCAGCCGCTAGTACTTCGATATCACAAAGATCGAATGACTTGAAAGAACCAAAATCCAATCAACGGTCTAGACGCCGGGCAACCGGGGATTTTGTCCCAACATATCAACGAGGCTCCCCCAGGACGTCATGGAGGCGCTCATCGGCCAGCGCACAAAGCTTGCCGGCTGTTCCAACCATCCCGGAGACATATTCTCACCTGTTTGAAGACCTGCCGGAATCTAAAGGCTGAGAAGACGATACTAAAGAAAGGGCTCATCCGTGGGCTCGCATGTTGGCAGACTTGGACCAGATAGACGACGATCCATTTGTACCGAACAGGGCCAATAGCGGCGTCCTCTGTTGGGACCCACAGATTGACATTTCACTGCATAAACAATACCATACTTTCAGCGACCTAAAGCGCCAGTGCTTAACAGAACTATATCCTAGCGATGTCCTGGAGTATATTTCGCTCATCAGAGTGATGAAGTCCTATGGAGATAAGATCAATGTTCTCAACTTGCTCCATCTTGAATCGAATTTTCGGGCAAGGTCAGCAGCAAAAGTACACTTCCATCTATGTGAGAGTGATCTAGAGATACTAAAATGGGAACGGACAGCCTTACAAAAACGTCTTACGGCCTTACGTCTAGTCGCTCTGGACTCCCGAAGGCGTTGCATATTGGCAGGTCATTCCCTCCAAGGAATTGACGATCGAATTCGTCCGCCGGATCTCTTCAACGATCCAAACGAAGCTTTGGATCTATGCCTCAGCCCTCAACTCGGAAGAGCACCCAGGCCAATATCCAACGAGGTTCTCGAGAGAGAGGTCAAATGCGAAGTTCTCGATGAATGGTCGACCAATCGAGACCGCATCAACCGCTGGTTGCTTCATTGCCTGCAATCCGACGAAGAGCAGGCCCAGCTCCATAAATCTATGCTAGCAGAACCATTGCTCAAAGATGAGGATTGGGCCAGGCAGGTATTGAGACACTGGTATGTTGATGAAGCTGCCCTTGGTCACGAAGTAAAGACGTCGCTCTCCATTGGCGCCGTTGACAGCCATACCGTAGATGATACCCCAGACGACGAGTGGGCTAGCCTTCCGCCCGTGCCGATGCAGTATATTTGAGGCACTTGTACTGTCTTGCTGTAAGGAGCCTGTTATGCTGGTGAAGTGCTCAAATTCTGGAAGACATGGCGGCGGGCCGCATTGCAAGGGGGTATGTGAGGGATTTAGACCCGGGGCGGTGACATCTCGCACAAAGTCTTATCCGGACGCAAGAGGAAACCCCCAGCAGCAACCAAAAGCCTACACGAAGCCCTACCACGGCATAGGCACAGCCAGGAGGGAAGGCCCCAAAGGTAACGAAAAGCCCTACGCCTTAGGCACACACTGTTAACAGCAACGGTAGCACAACTGGACCTCAGGTCAAAGGCCTACTCATCATGTAGGCATCGCGATCCTATAGCAAGCAAAGGGGAACCAATAGCACATCGAAAAGTAAACATACCAAGGGTAACAGAGATCGAGGACCAAGAATACAGACAAGGACTAAAGGCATCAGCAAGCACAGAGTCGTGGACATGGACATGGACAAGGACAAGGACAAGGACAAGGATAAGGCTTGATGGACGGGACGGCGTCGCACGCAGCATCACCACTGAAGGGGTGTTGTGAGCAGGGGTGCTGTGAGCCGCATTTGCTGTTGTAGCTCATCCTTGCTTTGTTGTTGACGTTGTATACAGTAGAGCCGTAGGGTCTACATATCTCATCATCCGTCTCATCTTAACCGAGCCTCCATCAAGGGCCCGCAAGGACATTGGCTGGGGTAAATATCCATTGAGATATCTCGGGCTGCGGTCCGCGCACCGGCAGTCTGCTGTCATAAGCGGGCTCCAAGCCAAAACCGAAACGGAAACCGCGCTTGTCAAGACTCGGAATGGCACGCTATTATGGTCGGCGCGCGACTTCCACTTGCGTACTGTTTCTCTGCAACCCACTGCTTTCTGGTTGCTCGCCGTGTTCTGGAGAGATGAGAATGCCTTCACCTCTGTTGAGGGTTTGCTAAGGCGATCTTTGATTGGAGAGAGCAATAAGATTGAAAGCATAAGTCTACAGGTGAGTCGATCAATGTTATTCTTCAGATAAAAGTTTCCAAACAATGAACCCGGCTGACGACTAAAGAACACCTTTCTTGATGCTTTACTGATGGTCAACAAAAGTCGCTAGTGGTCGACACATAGAAGTCTTCTATTGGGCATCGTGACTTCCACTAGTTTTACCGTTGACTTGTCCGAACTTCAATTCCGGAAGTACGTCCTACCTCTTTACATCCGCGTCCAACAACACCGGTCAACCTCCAATACGGAACAAGACATTAGGAGCTCGATAATTCCCTCAACCATGGACCACATCAGACCTTTTTCAATAGAGAAGTCTAAACAAGACGAATTCGTGCAAAGTATCCCAAAGATGATTCAGGACTTTCTCAATGAGCTTCCGAGGGTGGAAACAAGCAAGCTAGCAGAGGACGGCTGGTGTATGATCTGTCACCAGAAGTACGGTCTCGAAAATCCGGACGCTGACACCATCGAAGAGGCGGAAGAGGTGGTGTGCTTCCCATGTGGCCATCACGCTGGTCGAAAGTGCATTTCGACCTGGTTACAGACAAGTGGTGACTCATGCCCGCTGTGTCGGAAGAAGTTTTTTCTGGTCGTACCGTGGCCGCACATCATACCTGATGAAAAGGACTGGGAGGATCTGAAATATTATCCTCCAGATTTCGAGGACATATGCTCGAGCTTGCGTCGGTCAGACTACATTCTCGAAAACGTTAGAACAGGGTTGAGAGGACGTTCGCTTCCTGGATGGATCGTGCGGGCGGCCGGAAATTATTATGAGTACAACGAATCGCAGGGTAACTTCTTTCGCGACCACGAATTCCGGAAAATGGTCGCGAGAAAGATTCTCTCAACTTCGCCATCAGAAGTTGAGAACGCGCCATGGATGCTGCAGGTATATCCTAGACCAGGGGACTTGGAAGCGCACGTCGAGGCCCTAGCCTCAGCACTTGGAGCAGCTTTGCCAAGAAGCGTAATTTATATTCAGCTTCGAGATCGCGGTGCCACGATCTATCAAGTGAATACGTACACGGATTCCGAAAAGCCGTACCAGGATGAGGGATTCTTTCGGAACCTAATTTCGCGTGGCGGTTTGGACGGAGACCCGCTTATGACGGATGATGGGCGAGGGTCATGGTGGACGTATCTTGGGGATGGCAATGAATTCAGCACGTATTTCATGGGTTACTGGAGAGTATGGCGAACAAGATCCAGGATTCGAGTCCGGATCAGACAGTGGATTCCATGGAGGGATCGATGATCTCGGCAAGGATGACGGGGATACAGCTGAGGCGGATGCGGCATTTGGTAGAGGCTCAGACGTTGAAGAGGGTGAATGGATCTACAGTGGTGCAGACAATGATTCGGATTGGAGGGTCAATGACCCGACAGACGAGGAAGTGAGGCGGACGTTGAGCTGATACTGTCGTTACACGGAGTGACGTCTTGGTCAATGAAGCTTTCAGCTGTTGGCCTTCCGGAGTTTCTGACACTTTACAGTATATTTACTTTGGTAAAATTAAGCGCCGGCCTGGCCAAGCGCCTTTTGCGCGGCTCTGATGACAAATCAACTTTTCAAATTGTCCGCCCAAGTGGCAAGAACGCTCCAGTCCGTCACTCCGCAATCATGGCTGCTGCAAACAATGTTCTACCAGGCTCTCTGCTTGATCTGTTATCCAACGATCTCATTCTACGCCATACTAGTCCGTACATAGGTATCAAATCTCTTGTGTCACTGGCTGCTACTTCGAAAGCCTACAGGTCCCTTGTCTACAATACGCCACATGTCTTTCAGCATGCCAATCTGTGTGGAACTAATGTCTTGACGGGGTCCGCACAAGACTTCTCTTTGGATGATCAGAAGATTGACGAGTTATACGCTCAAAGATTCCGTACCATCTTTACAATCCTGGAAAGCAAAAATGTGATTCAAGATGTCAGAACGCTCATTTTAGATGGGCTCTTTGTCCCAATTTCAATAATTGAAGATATACTATGCAACGACCGATATCAGATCCGGCTGCTCTCCTTGCGGTCAGTCCATAGATTGCCAAGGCACGATGTATTGCCAATCCTTCGCCATCTCATCCGGCCAACCCGCCCAAAGGGGACGCCAAAGCTTAAAGGATTCTATTTGTTTGGCCATCAAGACAAGTTCCAGGAATTATATAGTTTGGATGAAGTCATGAGAAGGCCCGAGGCCAGTGGTATCACAGCCTCAGTAGGTGCCCAGCTAGGCGCTGGCAATCATATGGGCTATGACCTGTACGACTTTCAAAAGTTGGCTAGAGGAGACCCTTATAGTCATTCTCCATACGGCGCTCCGGGAATGTCGAATGTTCTGGAGGATAGCCTAATAACATCAGAATGGCCAGAAATTCTCGAAGCCTGTAAGGGCTTGATTGCATTTGATGCGGTCCTATGCCGCCACAATCAGAATAGTGTTCCAAATCCCAAACCAAGAGTTGCTACTGTCCGACTGCTCGGCTGCAAGTCGTGCAATTCGTCCCCTGAAGGCCCCGCATACCCTGAGGCTTCACCTACGGACCACATTCCGATACTGTCGCCACCTCCATTGCACTCTTCGAAGGTTGAAGTGGCTCAGCGTATTGACACTGATGGTCAATCATATCCACCGCTCATACTGCGCTGTCGTACCTGCCTCAAAGATCGATGGTGTGAGGTACGTATATTCCGGAGTAAATTCTTCCCATTCGGCAGCAAGTGAGGGCCACAGGCTATCTTTTCGGGAGCAGAAAGCTTCTTCGCTCCCCAGCACTGTCTTTTTATTTAGGTGATATGCCATATCTTGGCAGCGAAAGGATGTTTCTGCTCTCTAAACTGGTCTCAGTTCTCGGGTTTTTTTCTGAAAAAAGCGACACTGACTCCAACATCCTGCGCAGAGGTGCAACGTTTGGTGGTGCGAATCATGCTATACGATCCCAAAAAACAGAGGTCATATGAAAGGAGATCCCGCATCAATCGTGCCAGGCCGAGCTTTGAATGAAGACATCAAGGTACATAATGGCCTATGCGTTTCAAAATGTCTTATGGATGAACTCTTGAATGGGGTGGGAGAAGGTGGAATGTGGGGTTGAATCTTCGCGTATTTGTGCGCTCTTCAACCCTTCGTTGGCTTTGATTCGATCATCACTGACCTCCCATGTATTCTGAAGGGAGCCAAGAAATATTGTTATGAATGCGGTCAGCAATGCCAGCAGTGTCAGGCACTTACCCAGAGAATGTGTCTGTGGTGCCCAAACCAGTTTTGCCTCGAGCATGATACGGGCTGCAGCTCGAATTGTGTGAGTACCTTACATTTTCTGTATGATTTTCTAAGCCTGACGTGCTGGGCCACAGTGCGCTTGGTGCAATACTGGAGGCCGAAGAGGGGCATTGCTGGGCCACAGTGCGCTTGGTGCAATACTGGAGGCCGAAGAGGGGCATTGCTAGACTACTGAAGGACTATGGAGCTAGAGCTCATCCATGCTGTGATTAAAATTGCTACAGGGAACTGTAGCTCACAAATGTGACTATCATTGTGGCTATTCAAGGCAATTTCTTACCACCAAGCTAAACATCAATAGAAGAATCGAGAAGCTAGTTGATAACTTTCCCCGCCGTCACATCTTCGCAATATCCCTCCTTTCCCCACACCAACTCATAAATACACTTCTCTTGAGGATCATCCGGGTCAATGAACCCCACGTACCCGATCCCGACCTCCCCCCACTGCCCATCGTTTATCTGGAACACAATTGGGACATCCCCAAAATCATAAGTATTATTCACATACTGCCCCAGTCCCTTCAGTGCCGCAACCAGAACACTCCATGTCAGAACCCCTTTGGAAGACTGCGCGTACACCTGGAAATTGGTCGCTGGGGGCGTCATGTACCAGTTGAAGCCGGGCGTCATGAATCCGCTGTAGTGGCCTTGATGATTTCGGAATCAGCATGACTTTTTCGGGGGGGATCCTGAGCCGCGAGACATGTCTTAGGAGCAGATGCCTCTTGAGGCATGTCTGACGACTCATAAGACAGCATGAATGGGGAAGAATTGCCTCGGAAAGTATGACCTACCGGTGATTGGGCCGTCACCGTGCTGCGTTAGGTTGTTTTGGGCCTGGACGGCTGCTTGACTCAGAGCGCCGCGGACGTCGCGGTAGGTGAGGGGTGGCGGCAGGAGGCGGCCGTTATTGAGGAAGAGATAGGTTTGGGTCCCGGGGATGCACCAGAGGTATTTGAGCCATGGCTGGTTGGAGCCGGAATCGGGTAGGACTTGCGGGAGAGGGTTTGTCACGTCGGAGGCGTTGAGGAGGCTGTGGAGATTCTTCGTCAGATGCAAAAATCGGCATACAGCGACTCTGAGCGGGATTTGACGTACGATCCTGCCACAACGGTAGGCGCGTTGCCACACTTCAAATTCCATTTATTGTCTCGTTCCGCAAGTCCTTGGGAACTAGCGAGTGGGCTCGCAAAACCAGTCATGAGGAGAAGGAGGGTGAAGAATAGATGCGTTAGGAAACACGTATGAGACATGGTGGTATCAAGAGGAATAGGGCTCCCAGCCAGAGATTTACGACCAAGTAGTGAAAGCGGAGCGTCAATGACGTCAACCTACTGATACAATCTTTTCAGAGGAAGCAAAGAAATATAAGAGACCAGAGCGCTAGCACTGAGAAAAGTCGTGGCATTATCGCATGGCTGTCGCCAAATACTCCAAACACCACCGCCGGCAAATCGCCTGAGTACTAGTACAGACCCGCCACACCTTTAAAGCGCTTGGTTGTTTGAAACTTTCTCGGACGCTTGTTCCTCTCCGGCAACATTACGCAAAATGTTTAGAGTGAAGGAGCAGATGCGCACGAAGCTGCCTGGAGGTCGGACACTCGAGCAGTACCTTATCGAACGATGCTCGTCTCGACTGCGCTATCGATATACTCCTAAAGCTCTTCCGGAGTCTCTCTTAGCACCCTACTCTGCCGCGCTGGGTGGACGGCTGTTAAGAGCGCGTGTCTTGTTGAGACTTTCTTGGCCTCAGGACGCAGAGCACATGCACATCTCGGCGTCAGCATACCTTCTTTGAGGTAACATACACAGGTTATAGGACAGTTTTGGGGGTTGGACTTCGTATACTGCTCACGAGACATGTCTGGCGGCTCAAAAGCAAGGGTTCGATTGGAGAGGGATTGTTCCAAAATGTGCACTCATTCGGGAAACAAACTGAGTTACCAACAATGCAGGCGTCGTGCGCCCAAACGGCAAATCTGGGTATTATAAGTCAAGTTGCTACGCATCCCGAACCAGTATAGTGGCCTTGCAGAAGTCGAATTGCGTGCTCGACAATCTCAATATCCGAATGTCTAGTGACAACGTTGTTTTGGCAGAGGAAACACCAGCACCAACCAGTGTAGTACCATTGTTCTCCCTGCACTGTCTGTTGCTCGAACAGCATGTTTCGGCCACGAAAAGTGGGAGATCTTATGATTCCAACCTTTACACTTCTATGGTGACAACCGTCAGGTGCTATGTCACAGCTCCTCCGAATCTCCGGACCATTCACTGTGTCTAAAACCATCCAAACTGATTGGTGGGAGCCGTCAAACTAGAAAGGCACATCTTTGTACTACAGCGAAAGCGACTCTTTAACCTGAACATTTGAACAAAGTGTTATTGTGGCAGTGGCGAATTCTTTGTTCCCTGTGAGTCGATGGCTTGCCACACAGCAGAAATCTTGGGTTCGAGAGACTTGCTCTTCAAGTCTATCTGCTTCTTTTGATCAGTTTGTTCAACAACATCCTGTTCTGCTCCTGAGTCAACACCCACCATACTTCCCCTCCCCACCCCCCACCCCCCAAATCCTAATTCAAGCAGTTGACAGACGCAACAACAGATCACCACGTCAGAGCGGGCCTCCGCCTCAACATGGCAAAACGGTTCCTCGATCAGCTTGCGAAGGTACCGGAAGACGAATTATCCAAAGACAGCCTGTGTATGATCTGTCATCGAGACTACGGCACAGATTCTGCCGATGTGGCAGTTCGCCTCCCGTGTAATCATCACGTGGGCTTAGAGTGTATCTCAACATGGTTGTCTCCGGACAAGAGAGATTGCAAGAACTCTTGCCCAATGTGTCGGCGCGTTTTCTTCGACGTGATCAATGAGGAAGAGGAAGAGGAATACCGTCGCGAAGTATTACGTAGGGTTGGACAGCCACCCCAAGAGGCACATGCACAAGGAGACAATCCGAGATGGTACGGCTACTTTTTGGAGGCGGCTGCCGAGCAGTACCTAGAGAGCCTGACACGGGCGAGAGCATTTCTTGTAAGAAATACTCGAGGACGTGACGAGGTCGAGAGGGAAGAGCGATTTCGATTGGGTTACCCAACACGTGAAGATATGGAGTCTCATATTGCGAACCAGGCAACGGCATTTCGAACTTTGGCAGTCCGGGAGGTGATGCTGTACTTCGAATTGGGGCGTGACGGGTTTCTCCCACCATTGGTGGGACCTATCAGGCCATTGAACGCAGAGCAGCTGGAAGCACTCTTCCGAGAACTTCAGCGAAGGGGAGCTTTCGAACCCGACCTGCACCCATTCGAACACTACGAAGGGTTGACCGACCACCAGATGTGGCTCCTGCACCGAGAAGAAGGCGAAAGTTTCAGCACAGAAGAGGGAGGATACTGGTCACTATCATTAGCCTGATTAGCGGTCAATGGAAAGCTTGGAGGGCGGAGACAGACACGCGAAACCGTAGTGGTAGACCAGAATAATGTGACATAGAGCATGCTTTGAGGCTTTAAAGACAGACATAAAATGGCGATGATACCACTTTGGTTGCAGTCTCGAGTATGTGACTCTCTATTTCCGGAGCATGTCTAGAATCGTATATTAGTTTCCCAGAACTACATTCCTCGACATGGGTAGCATCCCTTGGGGGCGCCTGTCTAATTTAACATGACTGATTTGGCCTCCCTCCGTCCTTCTACTCAGACGACAAAGCCAAATCAGAACGGGGCCAGCGATGCCTTGGTGGACGAGAATCATCGCCAATACAAGATAAGCATTATCATGTACAAAGGGAGAATGCCATCATGCAATGACTATTCCCTTGGGTTGTTTGTGCAAACAAATCTTACACCTTCTTCGAGGATTGGGCTAAGTAAGTCACTAGAAGATTGAAGACATGGCTGTATTCTGGCCTGTTGCGGTGTTTGGGTATCCTTGGTTGAAAGTCTTGCACTGGTCCATTTTGATTTCCCGCTCACACCATTACTAGCCTTTTTGCTATTCTCAAGAGGAAGCACAGAGCCGTATAGGTACCGCAATCGTGTCCAATGGATGAAGTGAGAAGCGTTCTTCTTTCAACGACATGGTTTTAGGACTTTGTGTTTATCATCCGAAATCTAAAGTCTTCCAGTTCCTCTAAGATTTAAGCGCGGTGCACCAACGGGCCACGCCGCCGCCCCCTTGAAGCTAAAGTAGTATTCTTGTCACCAGGACACGCGCCCTTAGCTTGAAACGCAGCTGCAGCCATGCCCCATGGGCCAAGGTGTTGGTTTCCACTCAAATATTCTTCTAGGCGCAACTCAGTCAGCCTGCAATAAATAAGGGATGTTACTTCGTACTTCAACATGTCTAGACTCTCGCTCGCTACTTCATCAACATGCTCTGACGACGTCGCAAAAGCACTCTGAAAGGCCATACTGATCACAGCTGTTTTGTCGTCATTCGCTGCAAAGAATGGGAACAGCAACATCCGCTTGATCCTGAGTCAGAATGAGAGCCTACGCAGACTCCGAGAAGTTCCCTTTTCTGCCTTCTGGCAGAATGATAACATTGAAAAACCGTCCCGTGCAAGGCGCAGTGCTACTTATTACATTCATCTTTCTTACCATCAGTCTGTACAGTCTTGGGCGTGGGAGAGAAGCTGGCGAGAGCGCGCTGGACCATTACAAAGAGCGCTTCTCGAAATCGGCAGGAATACAGTCAAAAGCAAAGGAAGCAAAGGAAGCAAAGGAAGCAAAGCGGCTCTATGCCGAGGAATTGTTGCAGCGTCCGCTGGCTACTGACTTGACGTCGATTCCGAAGCTGTTTCACCAGAGCTGGATGAATTCGACACTGCCGGCCAAGTTCGAGGAATGGAGTCACTCGTGCCGTCAGGCGAATCCAGACTGGGAGTGGGTCTTGTGGACGGATGAGGACAATATGAATTTAGTGAAAAAATACGCGCCTTGGTTTGCGAGCACATACGACGCCCTACATTCTGAGATCTACCGTGCGGACACTGCGCGCAATATCTACATGCACGTTTTTGGAGGGTGAGTCTCAGAATTTCACCGGAAGAGAGACTTGTTGTCCGCTGACTGGCTGCTTCTAGCGTATATGCCGATCTCGATACTGAATGTGTGGGACCTTACGAAGAAATGTTCGCAGAATACAACACTTCTATGATAGTCCACAATAAGCCACCCTCCGAGTCCGACCATTTTGACAAGAGCGGACAACGCATGGGCTTGCAACCTACACAAGTCGACGAAGAATCTAGACCGAAATCTACAGCGACTGGACTAGATATCCCCTCGTCCGCGGAAGGTGAACGGAAAGTCTTCCTCGGGCGCATGGGTACCGACGAAGATTACGTTCACTCAATACCCAACGCCTGGATGGGGTCCACTCCCGGTCATCCGTTCTGGGTCCTTCCACTCGAGTCTTGTGAACAACACATCGGAAGTGGCGCGCAGCCCGAGTATCTCACTGGACCTCCAGCCCTTTACGACCGAGTCAGGGACTACAGAGATGAATACGATCACGGCAGAGGAGAGAAGATGGACGATCATTACGGCAAAGGTAGCTGGCGAAACCTGTACCCACCGTCGAGGGACCACCAAAAGCTCCCGCCGCAATCGATGGTCGTGCTTCCTTTCTGGGAGGTCTATCCGTATTCCTGGGAGCGCGATGGAGAGGCTTACAGGATGCTTTGCTGGGTTACGCAGGATACATTCAGTGCGGCGATGTGTAAGCACGTCTTAGGGTTGGACCATTGGGGAAGCCATAGCATTACCTATTGGAGCCATTCGTGGAGTGTGGACGGGCATTGGGGTGAACACATGGATGCGCTTAATAAGCCAACCGAGACTCCTGATGGCGACGAGAATGACGAAGAAAGTGCTCAGGCGAAACAAGAAGATTGAGAGATTGAAGGAGAGACTCGCGAAACAGACATGGATCGAATGGCCAACCGGATGTGTTTGCAAGCATCTCCAATGATGGCACTCGGTAATACAGGGCGAGTGCTGCTTGATTATCAAAGTCTCTACACAAGAGCACCCCAACGACGCTTAAGTCGCCATGAGGTGAAAAGTTTGCGGATACTGGTGACTCTCGCGGCTCACAGCTGGCTCGGCGACTTCCGGTACTCCCGTCTGTTGTCTTGTCCAATGGCCACTCACAGCGGGTGCAGCCTTCTCACTACCCTCAACAACCCGAGTTCGACCTTGACGGACAGTCACCTATGTCTCGTCATCCCAGCGATATCAACTGATCTATGGAGAGCTTTAGAACACTGCCAGATCGTTTTCCATTGTCGATGTACAGCATCTCAGCACTGCCGTCGAAACTACGAAACTAGCGTTGAGAGGCCATGAGTCGTCGGAAGCCGAGTTTTGGATAGTCACAGATACCCAATAGACAGGGGCAAGGGTATTTTATACATAACAATCCATATATGTATAAGTTTACAGATGTTCGAAATTATGACCAGAATCTCTCGATATGCCAGTGAGTCCGTTGAGCACAGAAACCATCATTGCTCAAACCAGAGAAGAGATTTGCTACATACAGTACGACAATACTTCAGTCTCCAGAATCGTACCTTTTTCCGCAAGTGCTACCGTAAAAAGGGTTCTGCGGCGTGAACTCCGGGGTGACCAATCGTATGCGACCCTCAGCCCCTAATTGGGGACATGTTTGACAAGCCTACTAAGCACCTCTACAAGTCTTTACCACTACACCTAGAGGATTGACGACTGCTCTTTCAGCAGATGGCTTGTCCAACAACAGCTTTGCGATTGACCTTTAGACACAATTCGTGAGAACTTATCATGCCACAAGTCCCCCTCCGCACCCTCAGTATCTATGACAAAGGCAGCACCTACACCATCTTTGACACCGACGACAAGACTCATCTCTACACCATCCATTTCAACAGTCGTTCCGCTCCTCACATGACCGTAATCCGTACCTCGGACACCAAGAGCATTGTTGGCAGCGCCACATATCACTCGACCAAGAAGCTCGGGTTCGCCACTGCCTCAAACATCACTCTTAAACTTCCCTCCTGCGAAACTGTCTTCCTGAACAAAGAAGGGGGCTTCTTCAACAATGACAAGCGCACTATGCGGATTGCAGTTCTGGGACAAGTGTATTGGAGTAGTAGGCAAGTTAACAATCCTTGGAAAAGAGGCCGAGCGGAGACGAGCTTCATGAAATTGGCGGATACGAGTGGGAAGGCCTTGGTGGAATACAAGGACGAGGGACACACGTTGAAAAGAATGGGAGTTATGGAGATTGGCGTCGAGCTAACGCAGGAAGGGTTGGATGAGGTCGTAGTAAGCGGAATGGCGATGCTGTCGGAGGAGCAGACAGGTGTGAAAGCGACGAGGCCGCGATGAGTACCTTCCGCGGGTGATACAGGCAGAGGAAGCGTGTAAGCATGACAAGTATAGCAGAGGCAGTAGAGTATGATGGTTGAATGAGGCAAAATCGTGCTCCACCAAGTTGTAGAAACGATTAACGGCCATTTTATCCGAGATTCTCGGGTAAAATTGCCTCCCAATTTGTACCAGTCCGAGGTCCGCACTTCTTTGTTCTTTGTTTTAGTCTTCTCCAGTCACGCACACCGCTTCGCTACAATCGCCATGCCGAAGGAGCACCGAAAACGAGGGCGACGGGAGGAAAAGAAGCGGAAGCGTGAGGAGGAGGAAGAAGAAGAAGAAGACCATTCCGCAACTTCCAAGCGGCAGAAGTCAGAGGACGCAAAGGCAGAGGTCGAGATCATAGTGGATGGTGATGATGAAAATAGACCACAAGAAGGCTACCCGGAATATGCTCCACGACCTGTGGAGATCCCGTTCTACGGATTACTGGATGAAGATGAGCAGGAATACTTCAAGAGAGCGGATTCTATGCTAGAACTTAATCAATTCGCCGATCCAGAGGAACGAAGTCTTTTCCTGGCCAATGTATACAAAGAGGCCAGTGGGAAGGAGCTCAAGATCGCCAATAGTCAGTCATGCTCAAGGCTTATGGAGCGATTAATTCTTCTATCGACGCCGGATCAGTTGAAGAATCTGTTTCAGAAGTTCAGTGGACAGTAAGTACGCCTGCTGCGACCGTTGAGGGTGATGCATCTAACATACACAGCTTCCTGCACCTTGTACAGCACAGATTCGCTTCCCATTGCTGCGAAGCATTGTTTTTACAAGCAGCGCCAATCGTCAATCAAGAGCTGACCGCACCTCTGGATCTGGGAAAGCAGAACCAGGAGAGTGGGGACGTCTTCGTCTCTATGGAGAACCTCTTCCTATATACACTGAACGAGTTGGAAGGCAATCTGGGGTACTTGATGAGTGACCAATTCGCGTCGCATCCACTGCGCATCCTACTAGTCGTGCTCTCAGGCATGCCGCTTACGGCTGTAAACACTTCCTCGGTGCTGCAGAGCAAAAAGAAGGAGCATGTCTCTATCACCAGTGAAAAATCAAAGCCCACGGAGGAGAAGACAGAAGCACGAATGGTACCAGATTCCTTCCATACCGCGTTGGAGAAGATGATGGCAGGAGCTGTGGCAGGTCTGGACACAACATATCTTCGGGCATTAGCGACTCATCCTATCGCAAATCCCGTTTTACAACTTCTGCTTGAGCTCGAACTCACAAGATCCGGCAAGCAAAGCGCGAAAGACTCGAAGTCTCTATTCCGGAAACTCGTTCCCGATGATGCGTTGGTGGAGGGTACCGAAAGTGCTTCTTTCATTAATAACCTTGTCTACGATACTATTGGCTCACGACTTCTGGAGGTAATTGTAACAAATGCACCAGGCAAGACATTCAAAGCATTATACAAGAGCTCTTTTAAGGACAAAATTGGGACATTTGCGAAGAACGAGGTCGCTGCTTTTGTGGTCATCAAGATCATCGAGCGCCTGAACAAGGAAGACTTGGTGACCGCTTTAGATGAGATTTGTCCTCAGATTGACACGCTGATCAAGCGCTCGCGTACATCAGTCATCAAGACATTGATAGAACGATGCCGCGTACGACATCTAGAGGCACCATCCATCTCAACTGGCTTGAAGCAGGCTTACGGAGAGGGACCATCCGACCGACTGGTCAAGATGCTCAGAGTGGGCACAGAGCGCGCAGAGGGCATGGCAGAAGACCGCAGAAAACAGCTGGATGCTAAGGACAGTGCCAAAGCTCATGGATCTCTACTGGCTCAATGCATGTTGGAGGCACCAGACCCACTGCGGGAACTTATCTGCGATGGGTTACTTACTATGGAGACGCGTGTTTTGATCTCAGTTGCAAAAGATCGAACAGCATCTCGTGTCCTACAGACGGCTTTGGTCTGTCCCGAACAGGCACCAAAGTTCCGTCGACTGCTGATACCACACTTCTATGGCCACATAGAGGACCTCGCATTGGATCCTGTTGCCTCCCACGTTATTGACTCCATTTGGGAAGCGACTGATGGTCTCACATTCATCCGGGAAAGGATTGCCAACGAGCTCGCGCAGCACGAGTCAGCCCTGCGAGCCTCGATGTCTGGCAGAGCGGTATGGAGGAACTGGAAGATGGATATCTACAATACAAGAAGAAAGGAGTGGCTGAACGATGCAAAGGGCCAAAGCCAAGACAACAACCAAGCTGCCAAGACAAGTATCGAGCTTGCCAGAGAGCGATATGCAGCGGGTACAATGAGACAACAGCACAAGGTGGTGAAATCAAGGACAGACAATGGCACTGGCGCGAACAGCATCCCTCAAGGAAGAGCTACCATTCAGGGTAAAGCTTAGTTCGGAAGCGAGTGCTTTTCGGCACTAGAGAGTCATGACGATGATGACGAAAGTGGTAAAGTATTTTGTCGAATTGGTGCGCCAGATATTGATAGTACCAGTAGCAAAGTCACGACTCACGTGTACCTTTGACAGATATCCAATATCTTCCACTCTACTTTTTTACTCTTTTACTCTTGTATTTCTGTGCTTTTCTTATTCAAAATGTCGCATCAAGATTCCAATTCGACCCATCGTTCAGCTGAAAAAGAACCAGTTCCCTCTCGAGCTGATGAAGTCTCTAATGTTCGTATTTTATACGTGTCAAAGTTGAAATGTTCCTATCCATCTTCTCCTATATCAATTCACGCGTAATGACTAACCGAACTCGCAGCTACTTAATGCTGTACAAGATCTTCTTATCCCATTCATACGTTCAGCAGACGAAGATGCATCTACCAAAAAGACCGGTCATGGTCTTTCGGTCCAAGGAGGGGGCCCACGCACTGCCCTCGTAGAACACCACAAACCTCACAAGCTATCCCAACTCATGGATCTAAACTTACCTCAGACCGGCCTGGCCCAAGCAGGCTTCCTTGAACAGGTGGAGCAAATCCTGCAATACTCAGTCAACACGTGGGACCGCGGCTTCATGAGCAAACTATACGCCTCAACGGACGCCCCGGGCCTCGCCGCCGAGCTGATCCTGGCGACCCTTAATACCAACGTCCACACGTACGAAGTATCGCCCGCCCTCACCATGATCGAAAAACACACGACCCGTGCACTCGCCAACCTCTTCGGCCTCAACGGACCCCACGCCGGCGGCGTTTCCGTGCAAGGGGGCTCCATGTCCAACGCCACATCCATAGTGATCGCCCGCAACACCCTCCACCCCGACACCAAAACCCACGGCAACACCGCGAACGATCTGAAACTCGTCCTCTTCACCTCCGCCCACGGCCACTACAGCGTCGAAAAGGCCGCCCAGACGCTCGGCCTCGGCGCCTCGTCCGTCCGCGCCGTCCCCGTGGACCCGCACACCGGCCGCATGGACCCCTCCGCCCTCTCCGCCCTCGTCGCCGCGGCGAAGGAGCAGGGCCAGACGCCCTTCTACCTCAACGCCACGGCCGGCACGACCGTCCTCGGCTCCTACGACCCCATCGGCCCCCTCGCCGCCGTCTGCCGGGAGCACGGCCTCTGGCTGCACGTCGACGCCTCCTGGGGCGGCCCCGCCGTCCTCTCCCCCGCCCACGCGCCCAAGCTCGCCGGCAGCCACCTCGCCGACTCCATCGCCGTGAACCCGCACAAGATGATGGGCGTCCCCCTCACCTGCTCCTTCCTCCTCGGCGCCGACCTGCGCCGCTTCCACGCCAGCAACACCCTCCCGGCCAGCTACCTCTTCCACCACGACGACGACGACGACCACGCCTCGGAGCCCTCCTCCTCCTCCTCCTCCTCCGACCTCCACTACTACGACCTGGCGGACCTGACGCTCCAGTGCGGCCGCCGCGGCGACAGCCTCAAGCTGTACCTCAGCTGGATCTACCACGGCAGCGACGGCTACGCGCAACAGATCGACGCCGCCTTCGCCACGGCCGCTCACCTGGCCCGTCTGGTGGCGTCGCACCCGGACCTGGTCTCCGTGGGCGAGAACCCGCCGCCGTGCTGCCAGGTGTGTTTTTACTACGCGGGAGGCGGGACGCTGCACGACGAGGCGGGGGACAACGGGAGGGTCACGAAGGAAGTGGTGCGGGGGCTCGTTCCGAGGGGTTTCATGATTGATTATGCGGGTGGGGATGAGAGGGGTGCCTTCATGAGGGCTGTAGTCAGTAGGGGGACGGGGAGGGGGACGGTGGAGGGGTTGGTGGAGGCGGTGGTGGAGTTGGGGCGGAAGGCTTGGGGGAGGGGCGGGATGAACGAATAGGGGGGATTGGAACGGCCGAAGGTCGGATGAGGATCATGAACGCAGATAGTTGGTAAGACTTAGAGGCACGTAGAGATCAAAGCTCGGGTAATTAGCCCTATTTCTGGGACAGACAGAGCTCGTTGCACCCTGTTTTGGTTCTTGTTGACAAGGCAACTTCCCCTGATATTTTTTTCCTTTCCGGGCAGCGACCCATCCAGAACCGTCTTCAAAAGACTTCGTGCACATTTCAATCCTCGCATTCGACCCACAAAGTCCGATGGCCCCCAACATCCCAAACACACCGGCTGAAAAGACGGAAGAGGCTGCCTAAGTGTCGACGACATCCTAGGTCCTCTTTCATCGATAAACTCCTCCCTTTTCGAAATGATTTCCATAGTAGTCCATCTTGCCGCCTGTATGATGCCCTCTCACGACCTTAACCTCACCAGGCCAATACCCATCGACGTGCAATAGTCCCCTCTGTACCGCTTCTTCAAAAGCTGCCTTTTTCCCCTTTCTAAACTTGACTAGCTCCTGCACAACATCAACAGGTGCGTCTTTGCGTTCGATTGTTTCCAGTTTTGGCAAACTGTCCGGCTGAACGCCATCCGCTGGCATCATGATCTTTTCGGATAATGCTGAGTCGGGAACGTAACTATCAGTGTCTATAGAAGGCAGGCCGCATTCTTCATCTTTGTCAAAGAAGGTGAAATCATTTTCAGCTGCGGACCAGAATGCTTCACTGTCTGCATCTTCCGTGGCTGACCTGGTCCTGTTGACAAGCTTTGACGTTGTGTTGGGAGCGTTGGGTGATACTGCTGGAGCCATCTCAAGTGCAATCTGTCTTAGTGCAAAGATCTCTCGGGCAGTATGGCGATTGTGCTTTGAGTAACGCTCCCCTGGCTTGCGTACAGGGTCCACTTCAAGGCGAGCCTGGAGGTTTGCAAGCTCAGCTTCTGAGGCACAATCCTTGATGAATTGAATTAGGGCATCAATCACTCGTCCGGTACTGTCAACACATGGAACGTTGGTCAAAGTGAAGGTTCGAAGCTTTGGCAGCATTCCTGGTATCAAACCATGAGGTTTGTCGAGCCGACTCGATCGAAGCTCTTGTCGTTGCTTCTCAATTAGTCCAGTCCGCATTTGTGAACTTTGTTTACCAGTGCCGACTCGGTCATTGCTCGTTACACTCATGGCTTGGTTTGGACCTTTTATGCCATTTACAGCTTGCGCAACCGAGCCTAATCCCGTTGCTGTGAGCACTGGGGCGGCGTCTTCGTCAGATTCCTCAGGCTCCAGCGGTTCCGGTGCGAAAATGCTTCCACGTCTGGCCTCGGGCTGGCTTTCTTCTTTACTAAGAGTAGGTTTATCGCCGATCGGTGGAGAGACGTAGAAATGCGTAGAGTCTCCGGGCAACTCATACCGTGGCTGTGGATCATGTATCTCCAGTTCGTAGAGTGGTGGTGTTGCATCCAACTCGTACACTGCTGCATCTAGCTCACTTGGCACTGGTCCGCTCAGTTCATGCTGAGTCTTTCCTGCACCTAGCTCGCAGGGAGCTACAGGTGAGCGCTCGTCTGTGAGTGGAGCATATTTGGTAATGACCGCATGATGAAGTCGTAGCGAGGTCATTTCTTGGGCATGCTTGCTCAGGATCGGCGTAAGCTTCTCCACTCCTGGCAGCCGGATGTGACGAGCATCGAATGGGGAAAGTGATGGGGATGCCTCCGACACAGGTCCATGCACAAATTTATTCACAGAGCCTGCATCGAGGACACGCAGCTTTCCTGACCGAATCAAGGCCGCTAGACCTTCCACTGTGAGGTTGTTGTTGGCGATGTAAAGATGGGTAATTCCGGAATGAGGCATGTCCTCGTATGGCAGTCTACTGATAACGCCGGAAGTCAAGCGCCGAACGAAGCGCTCATCGTAGCTTTCGTCTTTGAACTCATCGAGTACCGCAGGATCAGGTCGCACAAACCCTAAAGGCCAGTCTTCCACCGCCAGATTTGAAATGGCGCGTGGTCTCCCATTCGATGACCCATTAGTATCATTTTCAGCTTGGAAGCAAGAAATCAGAAGAGTCCGAACGCTGTGGTCTGTGAGGTGATTGCCTTGAACATCGAGGCTTCGAACTTTGAGACCTATAGCCTCAGCTAAAATATCGACGTCTTCGTCTCTCAAATGCACACTCCGTAACTTCAATACCTGCAATAGTGGTAGATCCCCCAACTTCCACAGAAAGTTCTTATCTCTTGCTGCTGGTGTATCGGAGAGGTCTAGGAAGGCGAGGTTCGGGAAATGGTGCAGACCCTCCGTCAACCCTTGCGATGTAGTATTCTGGCAGCTTCCAGCTATGAGGAGCCGAAGTGCGAACGTAGGATCTGGACCGCCAAGTGAAGGTCGGCGGCTGTCGCTGTAGCTTCGTAATGCCAGCAATGCCATATGATCGAAAAAGGGGAGCCGCGAGACGACGAGGGATTGGAGGTTTGGCAGCTGCTCCAGGACATCGCGAAGCCATTCAGGGTGAGGTCCGTCATAGAGCTTTTAGAAGCGTGAGCGTTCTTGTTTTTCCTGTGCGACTTGTAGTGATAAGCGTACCTCTGACTGAGCAGGAGGGAGATGCAGAGTATGGGTGAGCTCCCTCACGCTCAGGCGTACCCGTTTCAGGATCCTTTTGAAGCGTGTCAGGGCGACTGCTTAAGGTCAGTAGAATTTCCTACAACACTCCATCCCATTTCTACCATAGACCCTATCATTCTCCGTTCCAAAATGTGACGCGGGATTACCCCACAGGCATGGAGCGAAGACGTGGTGCAATTCATGATTGACTCTATTGAGGGCACACAGTTCGGGAGAGGGTATGTAGGGAGCTATGAGTCCCCATGGATTTCTCGCTATTGCGATTTCGTAGGAAGGTGGGATGTTTTCCATGACTGTAGAATTTCATTTCGGGTCAGCCTGGCGAGAAGGTGCCCCGACTGGATATCGGAAGGGCCATAGTTTTCCTCATGCTACCTCCCAGACTGGAGTTTCTATATTGACACATTTGTTAGTTGTTACATTTGTTAGTTGTCACATTTTACAGTCAATGGGAGCTTCTTCTTTTTCCACAGCCTTGTGCTCGTGTAGGCGGGAAAATGGACGGCAGATGACACCAACTTGAGGAGTCTCTTGGCAACGGCTTGAGGTTTCAACAGGAAGCGAAGGCCGTAGAGTAGCGTCCGAGGTCATAATATCTTTCCTTTCTTTTTTGGTGGATGGACATATATGACAATTATGACTATATGTCACACAACATATAGAAAGGTATATGGTGTCTTCAATGTTTACAACGATACGATGTTCTTGCTAGGGAGGCAAGAAGGTGGCTATACAGGTTCTGACTATTCTATCAGCAATTGCGCATGCACATGACAAGCCAGGAAACTGCAAGGAAGACACATCAAAGCTGTCGCCACTTCCGTCGCTGTTATCAAATCCTTCGAGACCAAGATATATTTTTCTCGGAAGTTGTCTCCTAAGGAAGTATGGCCGTTTCTATCTCTCGGAGACCCTCTGGCTATGAGCGGAGGTGCCACCAAACCACACAAACCCAACTCCCTATCGATGAACTGCAGAGGTTAGTAGTGTGTCCAAGAGGATCTTTGGATGTGCTTTCATACCCATCTGATGTTCGGCATGCCTTGTCAGAGAAGAGTACTCTTCCCCATCCACCCCTCATATTATCCAGCGACATTTTATACCACCGAGATTCCAACTTTTCTGCCCGGACAGGGCAATATTCCCACCCATTTCCCAATACAGTCCGCTGTCACTTTCAAGCAGCGCTTGGAATGCTTGCTTGCTCGGTCCGCTCAGTTGTGGCTTGAATAGTTCCTAGTATGACTTCTCCTTCAACAGCTTTGGACCTTCCACCAACACAGCCTTCATTAAAGCCAAGAAGTCCTGTGCCGATCCGAACACTCCTCCGCCACCAAGACAGTCTGTGGATCCGTTGACTAGGTCCCAACCTTCGAGAGTCACTGCATTTCCAGTCGCATCCAGAGTACTGAGATCAGCGAGTCAGTCATGCATGTGTGCTTTCTGGGCCGGCTAGAACATTATGTTCTTCAGGTAAAGAGGGTCCCAGATCTTCTTTGACATGTACGTTTCGAGAATCTCCAGTTGCGCGCCCCACCATCTTGTCTGCCCAGTCCGCTCCCATGTCATACATCCAGCTCGTTCCTGGTTCGAATAGTAAAAGGCTGTTGCAGCATTCTTCGATAGTGGCAGCAGACCACGGGACTTCGTTTCGATTCGTGCGCCACTTCAAGAGCAAAGGGTCCATCTGATCTTAGCACATCCCAGACGAGTGCAAGAGCATAAGCCTTGAACATTCGTCACCTCCCATGCCTGAGCAAGTAGAATGTTACGAGCCGGAAGATTCTACCTTGGAGTAATAAAATTTTCTTCTGCTTCAGTCTCGGAGTGTCGCCAGCGCTCTCAGCTTTGAGGATGATTTCGAGGTTCTTCAACTCCGGAAGGATTGCGCGATGTCCTCGTCAAGGTCGAAAAGACCGCGTTCCACACACTGCAATACGGCAATGGCGGTCATGAGCTTGGTGCAAGCGGCCATGGCCAAGACCATGTCCGGCTCTGTTGCTTTAGCCGCATCCTCAGGCTTCGTGGATCGACGTCCCATTGCCTTTCCATATTCGAAAGTGCCTACGAAATCGTGAGGACCTGTTGTTTACTGATCTTACAGATTGAGAATGGGACATACATACCTTCCTTATCGGCTGCCAGAAGGATGACGCCAGGCAGCGCGCCTGAGGCGCCGGCATCTCGATAAGCTGCTTCTTCAACAAATTCCATCCTGTACGTATAGTGAACGATCAATACAGAACCTCTTGAGCATACCGAGCAACAATCTGACTAAATTACTGGATATAGATAAGCGCCGTAAAATAAGCCCTTAGTAAGCGTCTTCAACCTTCGACCCGGGTGCCGAAAGACTACAGACAATGCTCGCGCTGAGACGATACCTCATCCAATGCGGCTCCCCTTTCGGTGATCCCGGCAGTCTCATTGATACATCCTAGCGGCTCGGCATATGCGCCGATGGTCCCATGTTGCTTACACTTTACCTTTGTTCTGTGCATTCCAGTCGTAAAGCTCAGCTCCGTTGTCCTGGTACGTATTGAAGGACGAATATTCATACGCCCGTATGATGCTGCTGGGTTTGGCTAGTAGGGTAACTCCTCCGACACTACCTCCTCGGCAGCAATCGACGTGGTGCTGGTTCTCCAGCTTACAAAAAGGCCACGCATATGTAGAATGAAAATCAAACATCGCTTATGCTCAACTGGAACGGTACGAGTTTTGTGGCATGATGAAAAGGCAGGGTGTAGAAAGAAGAGGACTCTCGGGGTTTCATAGTCCGGATTTGCCGCCGCTGTGGCAAAACCGGACTTGCATGAAATTAGTCATGGAGACATCCTAAGCGAACATACATGCTTCCCCTTTCATCTCATGAATCACCAAAGAGTCGATTGCAGGTATCTCAAAGCCGGGTTTACTCTAACTCCTCCCCTTCCTCCACCGCCCTCTCCAATCACAGCTCGAGAAGCGCCATCGGCCTCGGTTCAACAGGGGCACCAAGCCCGTAAGCACTCTTTTTACCTTGGATTCCGGCCAACCCTTCCACCTGCCTCCCTCAAACTCCTCAGTCTCCAGGTTCAGCAGCCACGCGGGCAGCACATTGAAGATATAATTGGTCGTCTTCTTCTCGTCGGGAACATCGAGGGAGCGGTCGATCTTGAGAGGGTCAATTGGGCGCTCTGGGGTGGAAAAGCGGGACAGAGCTAGTATCGATTGGGGCACGGAGGCGAGATGAGTGTGGAGCGGGTGCGCGATCCTGTCAATTAGAAAGAGCAGGCGCGACACGTCGAACTCGGTTTCTGGGTTTCGGAAATGTTCGAAACTGAGGAGATAGTTCTTGAGCTTCTGCATGTCGTCTCGGTAGATGGCTGAATTGCAGATCTCAGTCTACGAACTGACTTTTTCCAACTCCCTTCGAGGTGACATCGTCCATGCGACTGTGAGAGATTTCACTCACTGTAAAAAGTAACCTCATGATCCAGAATTCCCTCCTCTCCAGTAGCGTCCTCCATCGCCGAAAAGAACCGGATCTCTTCCCGAGAGTGGTCCTCGCCGACGCACGTGTACCAGGCCAGGCAGTAGCCAATGAAGTCTTTGTGGTCGGAAGGGGTAAGGTTTGGAGCTTGTTGATAGATGCTATTGAAGCCGCGAATGAAAGCATTGTGAGAGAGCGTGATGCGAGAGGCGTAGATCGTAAAAGGATCGTTCTGAGAAGCTATAAACAGAGGTCTCTTTCGAAAGCAAAACTGAGTGGATTATGGCTGGTGTTGGAGATGACTACCTTTCCTGTTGCGTAGGCCGGGGTTGTGATGAGAGGCAGTAGCTTGTCTTTATTTGAAGAGATCCCTGATGCCATACTGCCGCGACTTCGGGATGAAATGCAACAGCAACAGTCGAGGAACTTTATCCACCGCAGAGTCTAAGCTATCAGAAAAAGGAAGTGAACGCTGTGCTAGGTAACAGGACCGCTGAAAAAATGGAGAAAAAACCAGACCTTTAGACTCTCTGTAGAGTGTGTCGCATGTAGTCTTCGCTCCAGGACTGAGCCGTCATGGATCGTCCTCCGCTGGTTGTGTCTTTATATCCATAATCTTATGATCGACAGGTAGCCTGGAGGTCTCTCTGGCCGCTTCAGTAATGGGTCGCTTAATTTTGCCCGTTTGGGCGATGGTGCAGCAAGGTGCCAAGAAAGCTTCACATCACAGCCGTTGGTGCCGTGACAAGACTGCTCTTCCTTATGTCTCGTCGGATTGAAGACGATTAAGAGGCGCTTTTCGTAGATACGCTCCTACCCAGCGATGGGTACTGGACCACTTGAGCACTCTCTATGGTGGAGGACAAAGGGGTTGACAACAGCCAATTCTAGGATGTAGTCAAGGCACTTTCACTTGACGCGATTGTGGAATGATCGTCATTCGTTGCGATTCAAGTCATGTTGAGAGGTGGTTGAAAAGTTGTGAACTGTTCCAGCAATCACCTTAAGACAAGCCTCAATGCAGGGAACCAAGACGCCGAACCGAACCACTTGAAAGGTGAGCGAAATTTTTGCCAAGGACTGGATTAGCATTGGATGCAAAGGTAGGGTGGCTTGTGAAGGAAAGAAGAGACCGCGCGGCATTTGACTTCACGATACTCGGCAGTTCTGGTTGCGCAATGATGTTCGACCACAACTGTCCACAACATGATCATGATAAGCGCAATTCTTTGGTCCAATTCAAATGCAACAGGAAGTATCGGTAGGTAAGCTGTCAGTGTAGTCACCAGTCGCCATGTCATTTCGGTGCATCGTATGGGGGAAGATTGGTCGAGAACCCCACAAACGCGCTGAGAGTCGACTTCCCCACACTGATTGCTCTAGTCTGTAGAGTTGAATCCCCCAGAGTTGTCCGCTTTTTCAAGCGTTTCGCCTGCCCATTTGAATGGAGAACCCTCAGGCAGTGACAATTTGATCACGTCGAGCTTCCAGTCGACTTTTGCATTGTTTTTGTTGCTGGTGCAGCCATGGGCCGTGAACTTTTCTCCAAGAGAGTCGATAGTCTCGGATTGGGAACAAAGCGCCTATGAGAAGTGCTGTGAGCATCAGTGATGAACTACGCTGATCTACCGCCGGAAGTTGCATCCAAGGTAACAATGTTCTCTCTTATCTCCAAGGTTTTCTACTCCACATGCCTGAAGCAGTGAAGACAGCGGTATGAACCTGCAAAAATCTCATACCGAAGTAGGTAATGGGTGATTGAAAGCGACGTTGCCGATGGTAATGTGATGAGTAAGTGATTATCTCGAAATAGGAACAGCGAGTCGACGTGCGTCTCGATCACTTGTGGATCTTGCCGAAGGATACATCTGATGTTGCATTTGTTTCAACCCGGGGGGGGCCCATTATGCAGGGTAGAACAAGGACAAAGTAGATAATGCAGTCAAGACATGTCTAAGCCGTATGTAGTCGAGGCAAAAAGTTTGACATCTCGGCGGCATCTCCGCATCGGAACGGAGAAGTGGAATAATGAATAATAATAATGAATAAGAATTATGCCTCGGTGTTCAAGGCAGTAGTGCTCCGACAGCGATTAGCAATAAGCGCTACAGGAATAAGACAAAGATCAGTAAATGATTAACAGGAACATTAAGCAGCATAGCAGCAGTAGCAAATGGCAACAGTACGTTAATACTTTAGCAACATGGCGGCTGGAGTGAGCGATAACACCTGCTTTACTTTACCTTAATTAGCTGGCTAGAGCCTAGGGGGATTGTTATCTGAAAATGAGATGCCACGTTTTTTGCCAAGGTTCTCTCACTCCTCCCACCACTCCTGCCGACAATCGGGATTTGGTAGGAAGAGGGAAGAGGGGAGAGGGAAGGAAGAGGGAAGGAACGCTGCCATTGAGACGGCAGCTGAATGAGCACAACCTCATGATGCCAGGCTAGTCTTAAACATGATGATGATTGTGATTGTGATTGTGATTGTGATTGTGGTTCACTATGATGATGATGATGATGATGATAATGATGATGATGATGATGACTATTGTGATAAGATACTGCGGAGGAGTCATATGATCGTGGGATGAGAAGTCTCCGCACACAGGCATGGAGTAAACATAGATACCTAGATGTACAGTCGTCATGACGCACAAGTTGAGTGACTTTTATATCATTGGTTCGGGTGCAAGGCAAGTTGTAAAGACCACGAGGGATATACTAAATTAAACTAATAATGGAGGAAGACACAAAAGCGAGAAAGTGAGAAAGCAAGCGAGCAGCAGACCAAGCAGACGCAGACGGATGATGCACTCCCGGTACTTTTACACATGCATGATGCAGGTGGCAAAAAGAATCCCTGTCGGCAAAATACAAGGCCGAGACCGGAGCTAAAGGTCATCGTACTTTACTCTGGCCCCGAGGGGGGGCCCTTCCGACAACCTGCATCAGTGCGTAGTAAGTCGACTACCAGGCTTTTAGAGATTTTCTTATTTTTATTGCATGCCAAAGCGGCGAAGAAGTCTCCCGGTAACTTCGTAAAGCCCATCTTTTTGCCGCAGTACGATCGTAAGTTAAGGTAGCCATAATCTTAGTGATGGGAGTGCAGCTGTAACTAGCGTTTTCTTTCTTTTTTCTTTTTCCCTTTTCCCTTTCCTTTTCGCTTTCAATACCCCCCATAACCCCCATAACCCCCAAAGCAAACCTTGGCTGCCCTCATCACACCGCCATCAACCCGATTTTCAGCCTCGAAACTTTCACGCCATCTTCAGCCAATCTGCTCCATTAAAGCCTGCTGCCCTGCAGATAGCACTGCCTCAGAGGGGGATTTGAACAGCAGGGATTCTTGCAAGTCCAAACAGCAAATACCGGTAGTATCAATGACATGCAACATGGATTCCGCATCTCAGCTACGGTGGTTTGCCCAGAAACAATCTGACTGATACGACTGGTCTGCCCTGCTCTGATTTGATGACTGCTGACTGTTGAATCTCGCTCTCTTCACCGCACTTAAACAAAAACAAAAAAACAAAAAAAAAGGCGAACTATACCATTTCGTATCGCCAAGGCTAAGTGGTGGGAGTGGAAAGTACTTGTCTCCGATCCGAAAGGGAGGGAAGAGAAAAAGGTACAAACGCTACCAAGGTTACGATGCGTCGTCCCTTAACTGCGGGCGGAACGGCGTATCTGCTTTCCTTAATAATGCTCTGCAGCCTGCTGACTGAATAATAATCCCCTCGTCCCATTCCTTATATCTTCCATTGCTCCACCAGTTTCTCAATGACATTACGCCTCGACGCACTTCCCCAACCTACACCCTTGTTGACGTGTTCGCTTAATCCATGCTGCATTAGCCTTGTCCATTTACGGCCTTTCTGCTATTGGCTATTGATGAAATCGCATTTGGCAAACAATTCCCTTCAGTGCTACTACATTCATTTCATACCAAGCTCTCTTCACTCCACCATCCCAGTATAGGTCCGATCAGACAGCCTATATCAATCACCATTCTCCATGTTAGACGGCCTGATACATTATAATCATGCAGCATAGGGATACTCACTCCTCACCCGAGGACGAAGAAACTAGCACACGCAAAAGAGTATGCAAGGCGTGTGATCGATGCAGGCTTAAGAAGTCAAAAGTCAGTATCCGCGGATGCGTGTTCCATCTCCAAGCTCATCCTTGTTCTACAGTGTGACGGGGCGAGTCCTTGCAATCGATGCCAATCCGATAATGCTATATGTGTATTTGGAGAGCGGAAGAAATCACACGACAAGGTCTATCCAAAAGGGTGAGAGATTCTGATGTTCTTCTGACCGGTCACGCTGACCTTCCGCGTAAGCTATGTGGAGATGCTCGAACAGCAGCAAGATAAATTAGTCAACGCGCTCCAAGAATTATACGACCGTAACCTAAACCGAAGAGCCTGGCCCGGACCTCCGTTACAGAAAACGGCCAAGGGGATCCCACTCACCCATGATATCCTCGACCGACTGGGACTGCTCAAACTGGACGATCAGGGCATTTACGAGACGTTTGAAGAGGATACAGATGTCCTGCGGCAGAAAATGACGATTAAGGAGGAAGAGCACGCATATCCAACACCAACTACCACCAAATCCGAGTTCAGTCCCGCCACACCCAACTTCGAACCGTTTGTTTCAAGGCCTTTCGCAGGCGAAAAGGCGCATCCAGCAAGGCGATTCCAACCGACTCCTCCAATGCACAGCCCGGAGGAGGATAGGTGTATGACGTTTCCCGAATCATCTTTGAATCTGGGCCCCAGCATGAATTTGGACCCAGCATCGCTACAAACACCAAGTCAGACGTGGATGCAATCCGCGTCACGCTACGTAACCGACATGGATTACAATTACGACGTCGCGTTATCATACAACGGGATGGACTTGATGCAGCAGAAAGCCAACCCGTGTTTACCAATGTCTGCGTGGAACGACGACGACATTGGCCCTCTGGGACTGGATCCTATTTTATCATGACGACTGCTTTTTTCTTGGGATTTTTTCCTTCTTTTCTCTTTCTCCATATTGGGAAGGCATGTGTGCTGGTTGCATCTATGATTGGATCGGAGGATTGATCCAGAAGGAGGCGGAAGGCTTGAAAGTGGGCGTAGACGGATCGATGAGTACATACGCCATTTATCACCACATAACCCACTGAATTTTGTCTTTTGAAACCGTCTCCGTGAATCTGGTCTTACTTTCTCTCTTTCCTTTCGTTCTGCTCTCGTTCTTTTCCATGTGATGAAACTTGGAGCTGAAGTTGGGAATTTGTTATCCTGTTTCCACACTGGACAGGAGGCTTGCGTCTAGCTTTGAAGCTTGCCCAAGTCGAAAGGCCCGACTGTCTCTTGATGCAGAAACTTGTTGAATGTGTCCCGATGTTTTGGGCTTGATGCAGTGTGTAGGAGCGAATGATTTTGTGTTGACGTGCAGAGTGCAGAGTGCAGAGTGCATAACCTTTTGATGTATATACTCTCATGTTTTTTTTTTTTTGGACCGGTGATCGATCGACAGAAAGCTTAAATATAAGTCTCACCGGGTGGAGTAAAGTAAGTACTCTCTAGCTCTAGAAACATCTAAGTTACATTACAGTTACCTTACCTAAGAAACCGTTGGCAAGCGTGCCCCGCCTCTCCGCCTCAGGGTAAAGTAAAAGGCAAACCCCGCACTTGATAATTAAAGTACTTTAATGAATGTCTTGATAAACGCCAGTTTGATGACGCCACCACCAACGCCTGCAAGCAATCCGATCCGTGTACAGTACAATACATGTAAGTTATGAATTCTACAGTTCTACAAGTATACAATTAATTAAATTCTAGAAATCAAGATTGCTTTGCACCTTTTGCCTTGTCACACTTCTCACATATCCAATCATCACAGTAAACCAGCCAGTCCTCCATAGTTGATTCATCACTCACCGGACTCGCCCTGCAAAGACCACTCACCTCACTGCACACCTAAAACCACATCACCAATTTACCCCACCTCTCGCCTCACCAACCCCGCCTGAACCACACCTTTCCCCCCCCCGCAAAATGTCCCCACAATCACCCGAATCAGCTTTTACCTTTCTCGCTCAAGGAGCCGCCATCCAAGAATTCAATGTCGACGGTCAAAACATAGTCTTGGCATTTCCCGAAGCCAGATTCTACAAGTCACACAATGCCCCTTACTTTGGCGAAACCATTGGCCGCACCACCAATCGCGTCAAAGACGCTCAAATACACAATCTCAATGGCAAAACGTATTCGCTGCATGCCAACGATGGTCCCAACTGCTTGCATGGCGGTGCGGAAGGATGGGGCAAGAAAGACTTCGAGGGTCCCGTACCAATCAATCGATCGGGGAAAGAGGGGGTGCAGTTCACATATCTGAGTAAAGATGGAGATGAAGGATACCCCGGCACCGTGGAATGCAAGGTCTGGTACACAGCTGGCAAGGAGGATGGCAAGACGGTTCTCGACGTCGAATACCAAGTCGAATTTGTCGGCGACGAATGCGAGGAGACTGTAGTAGGGGTCACGAACCACAGGTAAGAGATCTATCATTATCCCACCCTCCCTACACACAACAAACTCCATACCTAACTACCATCATCACTCAGCTACTTCAACCTCAACCCCACCTCCCCCACCATCGACGGGCACGCCATCACCCTCTCAACAGACCAATACTTATCCCTCGACTCCAACTCCATCCCCACCGGAGAGATCACCGCTCACGCCTCGGCCCCGAAACCAAACACCACCTTCTTCCTCGGGCCCTCCTCCCCCTCATTCGACGACTGCTTCGTCCTGGACCCGCCCAACATAATCCCACTCGACACGCGCAACCTGCCGCTGCGGACTCTGGTCCGCATGTCCCACCCGGCCACGAAGTTGAACCTCGAGATCTTGAGCACGGAGCCGGCGTTTCAATTCTACACGGGAGAGCACATTGAGGTGCCGGAACTGGAGAGTAGCAGCGGGGCGAAGATTCCGGCAAAGGGACCCAGGGCTGGCATCGCGGTGGAGCCATCACGGTACGTGGATGCGCCGAGGAACGAGTGGAGGGGACAGTGTCTGCTCAAGAAAGGAGAGGTTTGGGGCGCCAAGAGTCAGTATAGGGCTTGGAAGGAGTGAAGTGAGAGATGGTCTGGGGGGGGGAGTTGAGCATGCATTCGTCAGGGCAGACGAGCTTGTGAGGTATATATGATGCATCAATGGCATAGACCAATCGTACATAAGAAACATAGCATATACAACCCCCATCCATCCAAAACACGCGTACAAACAATCCACACACCCCAGGCCCAAACCCGTCAAAGGCATCGATATCACCCACCATCGAGAATTCCCCAAAAATCCCCTCAACCATTCCCACCCTTCGACCCTCCCATCCGCATCATCAACAATCCAAAAAAAAAATACCAAAGTCCCACTCTGCTCAATCCCTCCTCCCCAGCCGTGGCCCGGGTCAACCGCAACAAAACCCGCATCATCATCACCGTCACACCCCAACCCCCCACCGTCGCCGCAGGCAGGCGGTCGGTCAGTCAGTCAGTCATCCGCCCCCCCATCTGACTCATGCCCATCTCACCAGTTGCGGCATTTTGCCAAATCCGCGCATCCATCCACTCACACTTACACACTCACACTCCCCCGATGCAAAATCACTCACTCAAACCCTCAAACCCTCACTCAAACCCTCACCCTCACCCTCACCCCCCCGACGTCAAAGTCAAAGTCCAAACCCCCCAAGCCCAGAAGACACCAGAAGACACCAGCGCCCACCCGACCAGTCACCAGCGAGGCATAAAGGTGAATCCCAAAAAAGATCCACGCCGGTTAGTATCTTAATATCCGAACCCTCGCAGCCACCACAGCGAGCGCTCAAGGATCCGCCACCGTCACACAATCCAACCCTGAATATTGTCTTGATCGACACGCACGCGGAACAGGTTGCGCTGATTCCTTGCGGGATTTCCGCCAGGGTGCGCCAAGGTTCCTCGGAAATCTCGGGGGGCGTTGGCCGGATCGTGGCAGGTTTTCCGAGAGAGAGGGAGACGATCGGTGGTTCGGTGCTTGGGGCGCCGAAAGATTTCGGTGGTTATCCTATCATTGACGAGTAACTGTATCGACGAATGCTGTCTTGCACAAAGTACTGTATAGCGACCCTGTTCTTACAAATGCCAATCGATATTGCATTATGGGCTGGCCTGCTGGGTCTCAGGCTCTAGCTAGGCTTGTTCGGGAGACCAGATGCGACGCTGCCCCGTTTCCGATGGCTACACGTGCATCCGAGTTGATGCTGATATTGTATATATATGCATGTAAATCCACCAGTAGATATATCCATCAGGCTCAAAGCCTTCTCATCCTTCCTCAAGCTCGGTGCAACCGTCACAACAAAGAATCGCTAGAGGGGAACCCTAGCCTTTGAACCTGGCCTCGAGCTGCCGCATCCAAAGGCACCCTCTCCTCTGCAGCACCTCCAATTTCATCTTCGCAAGCGAGCTGAAGATTCATGCCGCACTTCGGTTGGAAGAGTGCACCATTGTAGGATCATACTTCCCTTAGCTAGCTGGCCCTTCCGTCTGTAGAGCGCATAGTCACGAAACGACGGCGCAGACCGACATACCGTAGGACCACCGTATGCATGGCTTTGGTTCGAAACCTGTCGAATCTTCTAGACGGTGCGCTCCCTTGGTGGCGAGGAGGCCGGGAACCCTCACTGGAGGCTATGATAGTGGGCTGTAGACGTAGAAGCTGCCTCCCATGGTAAACTAGTGGGCCGTTGATAACGATGGTGCATCATGCAATCGTTCTGGCGTTCTTGCTAGCCTGAAAACTCTCGCAGGCGGTGAGTAGGGTCGGGGTTCTCCGTTCCTCGCGGCACAAGACGTACGAGCTGGGTCTCGAAGCTTCTCGAGAGGGAAGATCATGTCCTGATCGTGTCCGTACTCTTCGTCAGCAGCAAGGCATGTGAGGGATTTGGTCTGGTCTAGGGGCTCTAAGCCATGCATACGGTGCTGTCCATGGATGCAAAAGCCGCATATATGCGAGCAAGGCTGGTCACTGGCAGCCAAAAGACTTATGTCGAGTCGTTAGATACGACGTTCGAGACTAGATGCAAGCTGCACAGGCCTCCTGGGGCCTCCTCATAGGCTCAAGGACATGAAGGTGGCCCCAACTAAAAGTCTTCTTGTGGCTAGTCGAAGTTGCGTTTTGCACTATGCCCGCATGAGCTCATCTCCGTGCCCGGGGTTTGCATCCAGAAGTCAATAGCGGTCTGCACTTGGCCTATGGTGTCGCCACTGCCGTTGACACGAGAAAGTATGATTATTCTATCACTCTTTCATGGACGATGTGTGTTCAGCTGATGTGGGGGGTTGATGCTAAGATGTCTTCCTTTGTGGTAGTGCATAGGAACGAATCCGCTGAGAGCCGTGATCAAGGTGTCTTCGGTGTCGATCGTAGAGACAACTAGCCATAGCAATTGGCATGGGCTTTGCCACGTCGATGGTGATGAGGTAGGCGATCCTGTAGCTGCGAGGTAAGCTTGCATCGGGACGGGTGGTCGAGCTTGAGTGTCTTGTCTGTTGGACTGACTCCACTCTCGAAGGATTCAAACTGCCGTCTCGCTATAGCCAATCACTCAACAGAGATAACAAACTTTCCCCCTCTCCATCCTCGTAGAGCTGTCGCAGGGTGCAATGAGGTCGTCACGAAGCTCGAACGACCAAAATACTTCCATGACACCCTGCCAACCCTCCCTAGTGGTCTCCCCACATGTGCGGCTAGTCTTCCTTTACCTCGATCTTTGAGATAGCTATGGAAGGAAGAATATCATACGCAGCTGACTGGGCAGTCGACAGGAGACCAAATCCGATGTCGGGGTTCACTGCTCCAGGCCAATACTCCAGCGGATCAGACGGCGAGCGCAGTATCCTTTCTAGCAACCGCAGCTACAGCACCCTTACATGATGGCGTAAG